AGAAACTTGTAGTTTAAGTGAAATAAACGTTCTTCTTCTTCTTCTTCTTCTTCTTGATAAAATTCGACTTAAAATAGCATGTTTATGAAATTCAAGAATTAATTAATTGCTGTTTTAAACGATATGAGCATTTTACAATTGCTCCAAATTTTGATCTTGGTCCAAAAATTAATCCTTATTTTGATCCGATTGTTTTTGTGTTTGCTTCTATATTCGTCAATTTTATCCCAAATAGGATTTCTTCTTTGAAAATCAGCAGTGTTCTACATTAGGTTATGTACCATTCAGTTCTAGCAAAATATGATCATTTTTTATAAAACAATGGAAATAAAATCAGAATAATTTGATCCTGATCATGAACTTTTCTTAGTGAACACTAGGCCTGGTCATAGTTATAAATGTGAAATGACCATCATTAAAATTTGTTTGAATTGTCACGAACTATAAGACAACATGTAAAATCTCCAAAATAAAAGATTTTCTGTTATAATTATCACATTATTCAGATATGGAAAGATTAAATTTACAACTTGCCACTTTATCGCAATTCAATGAAATAAAATGTGTCTTAAATACTTAGCTTATAGTAAACAAGAAAAACGCAATATTGTAAGAGTTACCACATTTTATTACTTGGAAAATTTTGGTAAATCTGTGGGTTGGGTGTTATTGAGTAATCATTTTACAGTTACATTGTTTACATCTTACATGTATTTGCTACATGTATGGACATTGTTTATACCCGAATAATTAACAAACAAGTAAGGATATGTAGATTGTGCTAATGTTGTCATCCAGTGATATGGAAAACAAATGATCAAGTAACAAGCGAACTGACTAGTAATGCTCTAGCGCTCACATACCTTATTAAATTAATTATCGTTGTACAAGACTTTGTGAAGTGAAATACATGTATTTTATTCCACTTCTCCTAACTATGCATATTCCAAAATTGCAAAAGCTTCTTTTTTCAAGGTTATGTCAACACGTTTTTTCTTTATTCGGCACGGAATATGAGTAATTATGCCAAATTTATTCTCTCTATAGAAGAATGAAATTCATAAAACTATTTTGATAAGGTTTGTGTGTACAAATGCTTATACAAAACAAAATGCGCTTCATTGGGGACAAATGTTTAGAGACTTCTAGATGTGCTTAAGGGCATAGTTTGATACACATTCTTAAACGAAAGAACATTCTCTCATCGTCATTCAAGCCATCCAGCAAATGGATGGTCCGATGAAAGGAAACTCTACATAACTTTTATGAAATCATTCCTACAACTTATCTTTTCCCTCAACTCGGAAATTGTTTGTTTCTTGAACAATACTAGTTGTAGGGACTGATTACTTCAGCAGAGGTACAGTGATAACGACCTTAGAAGGGATTATATGATCAGTCACAACGAAAGTGACATGCTGTCGAATGAAATCACCTTCCCAGATATTCATACTTAATACAACAAGTGTAAAGTGTTGACGACACCTGTACAACATTGAGAATTTCGTGTGTTTTTCTGGTGCTTCGGGATCATCTATTCCAATATCTTTAGTGTTGTGTACCTCTTCAGTCGGTGCTGGTGTGTGTGTGTGTGTGTGAGGTGTTTTACTTCCCATAATCATTATTTGAAACGAAACTGCAATTTTCAGCTTAAGTGCAAAAGTAAAGAGGTATGTGCATACCAACGGCCAAAACAAGTAACACAATAAGTAAAGGTACTTAAATATTTAATAGAAAATAAATTTAAAAGAAAAAGAATAAGCGCATACGGCTACTATGACATTTTACAATGGAGAATATTTTCAGGAACATTTCACTTTTTCACTTTTTTTAAATCATTCTTTAATATGACGACCTGTCTTCCGTTTTGAAGGCGGCTTTTGAGGTTCGTCGAAAGTATCAATTTGTATTTAGATTTTTATCATCTTGATATCCTGTTTATCATACATTTGCCAAACTATCAGTGTCATATATATAGTGTCATAATTATCAGCGTTGCTTTGGTGTATCATTGATGGAATCGGTTTTACCTCGTCAAGATTCTTTTAAGCCACATTTACCTGCTAATTTAAGTGTAATATGACATGAGCAGTTTGGCAAAATAAATAATGTTATACGTATGTTTAAGTTATTGCATTATGTAAAACACAAAAGTTGCCTTCAACACACAAGCCATGTCGTCATTCTTATAAATCTTGGTTAACAAACACTTAACTGGAAATATTTTAATAAGTTACCTATGTGTTTATTTCTGTTTTTCAATTTGATTTATTTTAAAATATATTGGTCTATTTATTTATATTAGTGCTCGTAATAGCCATAGATTTGCATGACATTCTACCGTTCATGAACAGGCTCAATCAAACAGAGCCTGCAACATTTCAAATTGTGTTGTTAAGGATTCCGTTTTCTCTATTTTCCTATTGCATTGTTCCTGAATATATGCGTTTTTTCACATTCCTGCATTTCTCGATAAACATGGTATTTATACATTGATAGGTCATCATTTGACAAGAACACTATAAGCTTGTTACTTGTAATTCATGATACATTGTTCCAAACGTTTTCTCTTCAGAACAAATACATAATACACAAAAATTATTTGAAAATTTTCAAAAGAACATATATGTAACAGTATTAAGTTGGTTTTTAGTAGCGATTCATTTCAAGTCATTGTTGTCCCCAATCTGGTTATACTATTTCATTTGGAAAAGCTAGATTTTACAAGAGACAAACAGGACATGATCTTTAAATTGAAAAACAATGAAATATTATTCTAGAGCACATGTAATTACAGTGTATTTGGCAGTATTTAAATGACATACAGATTATATTAATCAACAAACCTCAGACATATTAGGTGGATCTATTCCAATCTCACAGCTTCTTGAAAATACTGAAAAAGTCACCGGTGCTGTCTCCATTGAAAGTGAAATTTAAGAGCCGCGTCACGACAAAACCAACATAGTGCGTTTTCGACTAGCATGGATCCAGACCAGCCTGCGCATCCGCACAGTCTGATCAGGATCCGTGCTGACCGCTATCAGTTTCTTTACTCGTTATAGGGTTCGTAAGCGAACAGTTTGGATCCTGATCAGACTAGGCGGATCCATGCTTGTCACAAACCCATTATGTTGGTTTTGTCGTGACGCGGCTCAAGATATTTTAATATATTCATTTATGAAAAACAGAGTATTTCATACACAACAACTGATAATTTATAAATAACATGTAAAAATTACATTATTATTTCTTGTGAAATCAACCTTCTATCTTTTTTTCTTTTCTACAAAAGTGTATTGTAAAATATCTTATAATATTTTTGTAAAATCGATTTTCTACTAAAAACATAAATAAACTTATTGATAACAATTTCCCCACCCCTAAAAATAATTACTATACTGGTAGTGATTTCAGTTTTCAAATAAATACTTTTGTGTATTTGAAGCCCATGTAAACATTTCATTTCTATGTTATTAAACTAAGTTATTTCATTATTTATCATAAACATGGTATTTATTAAAGCTGTTTTAGATACTTATGATAAAACTAAGAAAGTTGTCTATCTGCATGCCTCTTATCAATCAATAATCAAATGAGTCAAATCCTGACAATTTATTATAAATCGTCATTGTAGCAAATATAGTCACTTCTTAAAAAAACGACTTTTTTACAAAGAAAAAAAAACAAAACTTTTCTTGAGCTGATCTCATATTATATTTTCTATTATGATATACAGTTAAAGCAGATTATGTCAATACATTAAAGGTATCATTTTCTTCAGACTCTTCTTCAAAATCATAAATTCTTAAGCTTAATACTCATTTGAAATATATAAAAAGATCAAATATAAAGATGAAATATATAAAAAGATCAACATTCAACAAGAAAACCCCATTTGCTAACACCCTGTGACATTTTTGTCTTTATTGGAATGAACAAAAACATCTTTCAGGTCATAAATGGACTTGGGTCGGCCATTTTTCAGTTATTGAAAAGTATACCTATAAGGAGGACTATCTTGAAGCATGTAAAAATTAAATTGAATTTAACTTTGTATTTCTTTAAGGCTGGATTAAAGAATTGTAAAATATTTGCTTTTTTTGGTGAATCTATTGACCATTACATAACATATTGACCCACCCTCTTATGTTACAATATCAAAGCATGGCAAAACATGTTTATATACTGTGTCATACAATCTGTCACAAGTTTGGAAGATTCAGCTCCATCTAAATATGCTGCGAAGTTTTGCAAATACAAAAAAAAAAATGAACAAAAATATGGAGTTAATTTATTTGGCCAATGTTGTTAACATAATATTCAATTAACTGTTTATTTTGAATGCTCTGTGAAATGAATTTCTGTTTCGCTAACTTTGATAAAAATTGTGTTTGCTTTATTGTTAACGCATAACACTATATCATAAATACATGCGCAATGGGTCAAAACATTTCAGTCTCGAGAACATTCTATGACAGACACAATAAGAAATTCTATTGTTTCCCTTTATCTAGAAATGTTTAAGAGAATGTTTGTTCGTGTGATTAATACCTTCACAAACTTCACGTTGTCACTATGTAAACAAGTACTTAAAAATAGATGAAAATTCGAGCTTCGTCGAAGACATCACCCCAAGCATGTATATTATATTCATGAAAGTAAAGACAGTCTGAAATTTGTTATGGTTGCTTCTCGTGATTAACGTGATGGCGCTTGTTATTGCCAAATTATTGTTTGCTATTGAAATCGCATTAAGTCTTAAATTTCTTCGAATTATACTTAATATCGTCTACGTCAACGCAATCATACACCTGGTTGCCACGCGATAAGACTCTCGCTTTTTCTCTAAGATCTTAGGAGTGTACTAAACAGTATAAAAGGCAGCATTGTTCACATTTTACTTTATTGTAAAGAAGTCTGAGAAACGTTTGAGTTTATCGGTTTTTTCTGTATGAAAAACAAAATAACTGTTGAAAAAAACAATTGACAGTAAAAATATGGATCGCAGGTATTTATGATTTGATATTTCAATGAATTTCCATATTTAAAAACAAATCAGAAATAAATATTTATGCTCTCTTTAAATGCATTTATATAATTTTTAATGATTTTATTATTTTTGATTTTTGTTTTATTACATCATTGTTTATGTTGCATGTGGTAAAGTTTGTGTTCATCTAAAGATATTTGAAAAACATTCTTTATGATTTACTCTAAAGCAATTTACTCCTTTGCATTTTTGTACAAAATTATAATGTTGCCGACATTGCTAGTTAATTGTATTTTTCATTTTATAATTACAGTGAACAAGGCAACAACCGATTCCAAATTCTAGTTTTTGGAGTCAGTGGCGTAGGCAAAACAACTCTTGTAAAGCAGCTGCGTGAAGTGAGCGCTCATGTATTTGGACAAGAGGTGCATCAAGGACGGGATGGATCATACGACAATTCTTCTTCGGAGAAATTCATATTTCAAGAGATTGTACAGTTTCAGTTTCCAAGTTTCAAGAAGCTGGCGATCCAAAGATCGGATGCATTTATTTTAATGTATGATGTAGATGACCACGTATCGTTTGACTACGTGGTCAGCTTCTATGCAGAAATTAAACACGTAAAAGGTATGTTGCGTAATTTTATCTATTTATGTGAACATTGCATTAATTAAGTAAAGTATTACCTAAACATCAACATATGCAGTATATTAGAGTTTTAAATATGAAGAATCAAAATTTAATTTTTAACATTGCAACCTTTTTATTATAACTGAGTGATTTATTTTTAATGATATCTACACGAGTAAGTCAGTTAACAATTATTTATAATGTTTTCTTTAATATTTCAGGTGAAAATGCGCCAATTTTTGTTGTTGGTAACAGGACAAATATCCCGGGCGTTTGTGATGCACAATATGAGATAGATAATTGTGATATCAATGAGAATTTAGACAGTTCACACATTAAACTCTGTGCACTCACTGGTGATGGCGTGAAGGATCTGTTCTCTTGTATGCTAGGGCGTCTTTATCAACATTTCATATTTCCAACGGAGAATGTTAATACAAAAAAGACAAAACAACCATTGGGCAAACGGCTTTCAGATTACTTCCGGAAAAAAATACAAAAAATTAACTCAAATTGAATATAAAAAACTATGTAATTGTTAAGACCGTCTGTTTTAATTTGTTACAAAAGACATTATTTATTTGTAGGAATTACTGTTATGTTTTTGTATGTTTTTAAATAAATATTTATTTTTGAATCTTTATTTGTTCAGAGTCTCTTTTTTTGTTTTAAATACATGTATAAAAAATAGTGACATTTGACTTTCTTCGATATATGTACACAATTCAATATGTATACATGATACAAATTTATAAATAGATCAAGCACAAGTTTTAATAAGGTATAAATTATGGTTTTAAGGCATGTAAGGTGATTATCTGAAAGGAACGCTGAATGTAAAATCATTTGTCATAGATGTAGGAAAATGTAAACGAAATATAAAATCACTATAAATGTACAAATAGCAAAACGAAACAACAGCAGTTATAAGTTGAGTTGTTGTTTGTTTATGGTTTTTTTACTAACCTTAAGACATTTCAAATAAAAAGGTTTTAAGAAATGAAAGCAAATCTGAACGTTATGAATCTTTGAATTAATTAACAACGTTATTATTTTCATACAAATACTGATCTTATTTTCCGACAAGCTTGTTCTTCGTTCTTCTTTGACCTTGAGTTTATTGATGGTTTTGAGTCTTCGCTACAATGTTATTGTTCAAACCGTTCAGACATGTAAATACTTGAGCGATAATTGTCTATTACCGCCATACAGGACTCTTCGACAAGTTTCTCAGTATCAATGAATAAATCATAAAACGATCCTTAAAACGGCATATACACTTTAAGAAAACACCAGTACTGGTCGGTTTCAGGAAGCAGACTCGAAAGTGGTTAATATAAGTTGAAAGAACTTGTTTTTGAATTAGTATGTTTAAACTAAGAAAACTGCACAGTTTTACTCCAAATAAATCAAAATTTACATTTCAAATCCTAAAATATTTAAAATCCTTGAACAATCGATTGGTGATTTGTTTTTAGTTTGTAAAGACGCGTTTTTATAAAATTCATGCAAGAACTGTTTGATGAATAAACCTTTAAACATTTTTAGACAACACCGAGATAATTATACATGTTTGTAAATTCCTACATAATAATTTCTTAAACATTTTACACACCAAAAAATTAAATTATGGGTAAATGAAGAATATTTTAATGGTTGAATGAACAGCAGCAATGTCTAGATTACCATGAAATAGAAAACAACTTACAGGTTAGGTACGGAATGCCGTTAGGGCCATCGCCTATGAATGTGTTGATCTAAAGCGCGATAGTCGATAGTACGATGGTGAAAACGCGAAATCACGAAACTACGATGGTGAAAACGCGAAAGCACGATGATGAAAACGCGAAAGTACGATGATGAAATCGCGACAGTACGATACTACGATGATGAAAACGCGATAAACTATCGTGTTTTCACCATCGTACTGTCGCGCTTTCACCATCGTAGTTTCGTGATTTCGCATTCCGGAATGCCGTTAGGGCCATCGCCTATGAATGTGTTAATCTGAAACGCGATAGTCGATAGTACGATGGTGAAAACGCGAAATCACGAAACTACGATGGTGAAAACGCGATAGTGCGATGATGAAAACGCGATAGTACGATGATGAAATCACGACAGTACGATGGTGAAAACGCGATAGTACGATGATGAAAACACGACAGTACGATGATGAAAACGCGATAGTACGATGGTGAAAACGCGATAGTACGATGGTGAAAACGCGATAGTACGATGATGAAAACACGACAGTACGATGATGAAAACGCGAAATCACGAAACTACGATGGTGAAAACGCGACAGTACGATGGTGAAAACACGATAGTTTATCGCGCTTTCATCATCGTAGTATCGTACTGTCGCGTTTTCATCATCGTACTTTCGCGTTTTCATCATCGTGCTTTCGCATTTTCACCATCGTAGTTTCGTGATTTCGCGTTTTCACCATCGTACTATCGACTATCGCGTTTCAGATCAACACATTCATAGGCAATGGCCCTAACGGCATTCCGTAGTTAGGTACCTTTAATTGTGTTTAATTTTATACTTTCTCTTGAGTTAATCGTAATTACGCGTGTATATATGGATTTCCAAAGGAAACTTAGATACGCAGACACGGATCCACATATTGTCGGCTTAATAAAAATAAGAAACTAACTAAATAGAAACTAAATTAGGAAATAGAATTAAATCAAATGGTTTCAAATGAAATTATGCATGTTAAATAGTGTTTTAGTTGTGCATTTTATAATATACAAAATGTACCCATATCTACATCCTCCACCACTAACAAAAAAAATCATTTTGAACATATACATATGTTTCCGTAGATATTAGTTCAAAAGTTAGACACTGCAATCTGCTTTCCAGTGAAAGCCACAATTAATATACCTAATCTGAGATATATAGGCATAGATTTCAAGGATGCTCGCATTTACAAACTAGAGGTTCAGGGAATACCTTAAGAACGCCCAAAACAGCAAAATTGAACATGTTTCAGGCTTTGTACGATTGCGCCTGTTCATGGATGGCACTGGATATTGAAAGCTGTCGTCTACACCCCCTAGCACCGGCTTAAACGGAATTAAACATTTAACATGAAATGGTATTTTTTAATAGATATGTTCAAATCTGTATTGTAGACGGCAGCCCGTGTTGACGATTAAACCACCTGTACCTTTGACACAATATAACTTTTTGTGTACGCTAGTAGAGTTAGAACTACATTTATGGCTGGCAGAGAGGATGTGTGGGGTACACTACAATACAATACAATACAATACAATACAATACAATGCAATGCAATGCAACACAACGCAATACAATACAATAACAACTACAACACAATACAAACCAATTTATTTTAGTGCAGCACATAGCATAACATAATTAATATGTGCCTATTTATAATGTATCGTATGTTTATTTTTATTATCTACAGTAAGATTTGCGTGTGCATGATTGAAAGGTTATATCTGGTATACCATTTACTGGCAGAAATTAAAGCTGACTTACTAGTATGCGCTTTATTGTAAAGATAAAATACGAAACCGTTCTCATCATTTTGTATGTCAAATTTATTGTTCTTCAATAAAAAAAAACAACAGTAAACAGTGATAAGTAAAATGTCATCATGGTCTTATTTTAATTGATTTGTTGACATTAAAATTGCAATTAGTACATATATTGTATTTGATTATTGCTAGTAAGTTATCTTAGTTTCATCACAGATCTTAATTTTATATTATAAAAGTAATATAAATCTGTGGTTTTATTAATTAAGATTATATGCTGTGTACCTCTTAGTTCACGGTACTTAACACTTTGGAACAAGAAGGAAAACTAACAATGAATAGCGAGCATCGCAGATCATGATCAGAAATATGTTTTTATTGCATAAAATGTCATGAACTGTAACATTTAGGTATTTTCTGGTGTATGACACAAGGAAACAACAACATTTTTGAATCAAAATCAGATTTAATGGGTCGGACGTCGCCCATTCATGTAGTTTTGCCATTTTGAAAACAGTATGTTAACAATTAATTAATCGAGATAAAAGGTGTTACACTCTCTTTTTTCGTGTTTCAGTTGAAATTACTATTTGTTATATTGCTCAGTTGTAAATATTAAAATCATCTTTACATTATAACTCATTTTATTAGACAGGAACATTTAGAAGATAATGATTGTTTCAGGCGTATTTACACATTTTAATGAACTATTGTGGCTTTTTGCAGAAACGAGTGCAATGTTTAATTTTGTTTTACGAAAAAAATCTACCAACTTAAAATATTTTGAACAAAAATTTGCTGTTTAAGCACATGGGTGACATGTATATTTATGTGTCTTTTCATCTATCCCATGCGCACAAGATACTAGTTTGCATACTTGTTACTAAGTCGTGCCTCGGGATAATTAAGTGGTACGCAAGAGAAACTATGTCGTGCGCACTAGTTACTAAGTCGTGCGCACGAGTTACTTAAATTGTTCGTTCGCATGAGAGTTACTATGTGGTGCGAATGACATAATCAAATCGTGCACACAACATAATTAACCAGTCTGATTATTCTATGTATATGATTTTTTAAACTTAGAAAATTCCTGTTCATTTTACATTTTAGACACACTTCTATTGTCATTGTAGACATTATATATATACATATCTGGCAGCTGACCTTTGAACTAGTTTAGTTTGTACTTTGCCAAGGATACCAAACAGTGGAACAGTATTTATCTGGATTAAATTCCATGGAAGAATCGGATTCCCAGTTTTCAAGACTGTTGGGGTCTTTTTGGAGGGTATAGTCATCTTGAGTTGATTGAATTGTAAGATATACTATTGTGTCGTCTACAAATAGTCTAGCCTTGCCCTTAATACTGTCATGGTCCTGGGATATCATTTAATAAGTAAGAAAAGGCAATACATGTTTGTTTGTGTTTTATTGTTTACTAAGTTTTCAGGAAGCATATACGTATACTATGCACGTGAATACACACAAGTGGCTATAAAAAGCTATAGAACAACTCCAAGGCCAGGGCTAATGTATTTGTGCGAAATTAACTTTGATTGCATTATCGTTTAAAGTAGAAGCTATGACGTTCCTGTTCTGAAAACAATTTGTTCAGAACAGAATCAAGCCTTAATTGTTACGGATTTACTATAGGATAGTACGAAAATTCAGTGGACCGTCTCCTTCAGAAATACCGAAAATCGGGTGATGGAATTTAGCCATTGAAAATCAAGCGTCTGACGACTTCGGCATGAATTGCTGAAATAAAATTAAGAAATTTCATTTTTGATTTTCAGTTTTGCTCAACAGACATGTCTACATCTGAAGAAAACAGTAAGGCTATTTAATACATTAGTTTAACAATTACAAAACTATGAAGTTTAATGTTTCATTTTTACACATCACCGACTTTTTCTACTAATTTTCGGATATGTTCATGCCGGATAAGTAGAATCTATTTATATAAAACATGTATAAAATACTTTTTAACTAATAAATTTCATACAAATTGCTATTGCCTTTGTAAGTCCCGTAAATAAATCATTAACTATATGTGAAAATGAATATAGGAGCAGGGTTTTACATCTCTTTGAAATTTTAGGGGTCCAGTGGATGCACAGCCTAGAAAAGTAGGGGTCCAGGCCTGAATTTTAGGGGTCCAAAATTATTTTCACTATAAAAGACTATGCAGACCACTCTATTTTGCTTAAAATCATTTATTTACCCTGTAAGAGATATGCATGTATATTGTACTGTTTTCATAAGAAGTATATGATTTCAATATCTTTTATCACTAGGTTTTTTATAGCCCTTTAGTAGCCCTTTACAATAATATCATGTGCTATTTCCAAGGCTTATAAGTCTGTGAGTGGCTGGAATGTCAAGTTTTTGTAGCATATTTTGTTATTGATAAGGTGATTACACCAACAGACTGAAAATTTGTACTGATCTATTTGTAAATATTTTAGCTGAACTAGTAAACACACAATATATTTTTAGCTGAACTAGTAAACACACAATACATAACTTTTACAGACCAGTCAGCTAAATATGTTGCGTTTTTAAAAATATCATATAACAAAAGGATGACGAAACCGCTTTTGCACCTCCTCATAAGTTGGGACATACTTGATGTCCCAGTCAAAAGTTAAGTTCGCCGAAACCATTATATTTATAACACCAACGGTAATAACATACCCAGCGACTTAATTTCTATAACACTATGAAAATAAGTTTGCAAAAAGCACTGCCTTTTTTATTATCGCCGTTCATGTACAAATTACATTCGCATCGGCATTGGATACGCTAACCAATAGTAATTGCTTGTTATAAATAGTCCGTCTAAATATAGCAACAGAAAAACCAAAAACAGCTACCTAAAATAGATTTTACGGTAAACGTCATCAGTTACTGTAGCTTGCACGATAAACGTCATCAGTTTCTGCAGCGGGCACTTGCAAATAGCATGCGCAGTAGATTTCAATTATGTTAACTTCCGAAATAAACAATGCAAGCATTTTCTGCTCACTGTATTAGATTTAAATGGAATCTTGTGAGCTTCGAGAAGAAAGAGATAAAATCATGTCGGGCCAGAAACAATAATATCTATTGTCTAGGATTATTTTTGTGCGTACATTTGGACGCAAGTGGATAACTTATATGCGTACATGTCAAAATTTATGTGTATAGGGACGCAGAATTCTGCGTCCCGTAAAACCCTGTTAGAGACAAAAATATCTCAAAGCAGGTACCTATCCTCAAGGTAGGATGGTCCCCTATGGTACCACTGTTCTTATTATTTCCAGCAAATTGTACACATAAAAAGAACTTGTATTTACTATTTTAATAAATTGTGTTTAACTGTCGCATCTTGCCTTCAAAATACACCTGTCATTCATAGAATAACTCAATGATTTAAATTAGAAACATCTATGGTCATTCAGCCATGTTTTGAATGGCAGCTTAAACGGAGAGCACTATGGTACCGTGGTATGTAAATTGATGGCCCTTTTTGGCTTCAGTAGAACTTTTTCAATAAAATATCATGACGTCACTACAGTTTCAGCAGACGACTTTCACTTGTCAGAACATGAAATTATCAGTTTAACTGGTAAATGTGGGGTAAAATTTAAAAATATTTCCAACACACTCGGGTAGTTTTGGATTTTCCTATCAATGACAGAAATTTATTTAAAATGAAAATATTTCTAACAATTTTTATCCAAATTAAAAAAGCAGCACTTCAACTTTCACTTTAATGATGGAATCATTCAATTGGTCCCGTTCAGTGTGTAAAGAAACACATTTTCTGATTGCACTTGAATAGGCAAGGACGCGGTACCTACGGGGAGTAGTATACTTTATACTGGGAGGTACTTTGTACTGGGAATGTCCAGATATTACAAACAATACTTATATAAAAAAATTCTTTTGTATGCAAGTGTTTTTCACATTAATTTCATACACAATATAGCATTTTTTGAAGAAAATTCAAAGTTTTAATAACCCTATTCACATAAATGTGTTTTTAGGATAAAAACCAGTAATATTGCTAACGATTTGGACCCAACATCAGAGCTCCAGATAGTGTGCGTATAAGCGTAAAAAACGCATAGAAAATCTAAAATACGCATCACTTTCAAAATTCGTGCGTCAAAGTTACGCACAACAAAATGAAAATACGCCTGTATGTCAAAAGTTAAGCGTGAAAGTGTAAACATTCGATATATAGAAAGAGGATGTTTTGAGCATAAAAATACAATATATTTCCATTTTATTGCATTGAAAACTAAAAATTCTGTTGTCAACAACGCATGTTAAAAACAAAAGTAGCAGGAAGTACAGAAGGGAGATAACTCACGTAAAATCAACCTGTGAAATTATTGATGTGCCAGATAATCATCGTAGGAGTTAACATAGTATTAAGTTTGTTTAGGCATCTGTTGACATGCTTATGCCTCAATGTAAACAGAAATATATTTTAATTTCTTTCACTTTTGTTGTGGGAACAAAATAACATGTTTTTCACCTGCAGTTTTGTACTCAATATTTTCGTACCCAGTCTACAGTTACGGACACTTTTCTCTCAGACCAATTTTTTTTAAGGAAAGATGAAAAAAAATCTTATTTATTTTTTCTTTAATTTTAATTTCAACTATAATTGTTCAAACTTAAGTACATGATAAGATACATGCCAACAGAAATAAAGAAAGAAAAATATTGACTCATAGAAAATAAAATAATTTCAAGGCTTCCACTAGTGGGAGTTTGAAAGTCATTTACTCCTTCATTTTGGCTTGTGACCTCCGAAAATCTAATACTTTTCCTTCTTTACCTAGCCCTATATAATGTGACTTCCAATATCAGAGATCTTGAAGTCTTTGACTTCCAAATTTTGAAAATGGAAATCCTGATAATTTTGCTGTGTATCCTAAACTTGAGTTCCAGTATACTCTGGAAGGCTGACTTTGCAGGGTATGTTTTGTATTGTTTCACATTGAATCAATATTTTATTTGTAAAGGGTTTTCTAAACAAAGAAAATAAACAAACATACAAAAACAACAAGTTTAATTTGCTTATAAAAATGCAAAATGCTTCTTTGACAGATTTTACCCCTTAAGTTTTTCAGAATTTGCATTTTACCCCTCACTCTAAATTTTGAGGGGTAAAAACCCCTTGGCCAAAAAAATTATCTGGAGCTCTGATTACATGATATTTTGAATGTGTGTGCAATGCTTATCAAATTGTTACCCTTTTACTGTGTGGTAATTGATAAATATTGAATAGAACTTTAGTATCATTAACAGTAATGGACCACTTACATATGTTTTTAACTTTTTATTGATTGCTTAAAAGTCATTCCTGGTATTAAGTACTTAAAAACAAAGATGGCTGCCACTCATATGAGGTTATTAACAGAACTATCTTTTTGATGTATAGTTAAAATTTCTTTTGGATGATTGATATTTTTGTCAAATAATGGTACCTTCTACAGAAAATAACTATTTTATCCTAGATTTTTTCTGTATTACATGATGGTGGGCCTAATAGGGCTTACCCTCCCGGTAGATAGTACAACCAGGATACATCCTGTAGGGTATCTTGAAATATTTGGTTCTCGATAATCTAACAATAAAATGCAAAAACAACAAATGGAAAAAAGACTCACCTTTATTCTAAATACATCCTTGAATCCATAAATATATTGTCTTAAAGTTTTTTAATTCTTAACAAGCAATGAAATAAGGATTAAAAAATATTTTCAAAAAATATAACATCTGTCAAAAAAAGGATTTCCAACTCAAAGCCACAAATCACAGTTTTTTTGCACAAAATTTCTCAGATCGAATTGCAACATTAAATGATCTTCTTGAACAAGAAAGGCACTGGTGAAAAATCAGTTTTCATTTTTGAACTTTAAGGAACACACAATTTATGGTATCACTATCAGTGGTCAAAATATTCATTCATTTTGATACAGTATTAATTAATACTGTTTGAGGAAATTCTGGAAATAGTAAAACAGCTACATGTAGTCATCCCTTTTTTATCATTGGTAATTAGAATAAAAATTTGATTATATTACTAAAGTAACACTAATAAAATGGTTTTCTTCATGGAAAAAATGATATGGATTTTTGAGAAAAAAAAATGTTTTCAAAATACAAAAATTTCAAACAGAAATATTTCATGTTTGGTGACATGAAATACACATTTCATTTATTTTCATTGTTTAAGCCTTGATAAATTTCCAAGTAAAAAAATGTTCACTGATTTAAAGTTAAAGAAAAGTTTAACTACATGTAAATGAGGTATTTTATTTCCAGCTCTTGTAGAGAGGGTGTTTTTACGGATAGGATCAGCTGAAACAGATGAACAGCTGGAATCAGCTCTTGGTCGATTCCTAACCCCCATTCTCCTTAAACTAGACAGTAAAGAAGAGGGTGTTAGAAAAAAGGTAAGATAAATGACTAATCTATATGGGAGGTTGATAACAATCTCTGACAAAAATGCTTCAAGTCAGTGTTTTATTTGACACATGCACAGATTGTCCTGAAGGTTCCAATAAAAGTTAAATTTTAGGACAAAGCTTGTTGTTATGAATTACATTATTAAGATCATATCCAATAAAAAAGCACTGAAAACAATACATGTAGGGTTAATCACACATTTCATTTTGCATTTTCAAATTTTGTGCTGCCTTAAATTGGACTAGTGCCTTGGGTCATATCGATGTTCTCCCATAAATATTGGGTCACTGAACTATAAAACTTTTATTAGTTACACTCCTTAAGTTACATGTTTTATCAGAGTGTTTATTGTTTTTCTATAGTGATAACAGGTAAAATAAAGTTAGTAGATTTACTAATGAAGCTTGCCTTGGTATTTAATAAATATTGTTGCACATCAAGTTAAACAAATATTATCTTACTGAGGATTGTCAAAGTTTAATCAGTGCTTTCTCTTCCGTATATATGTCCTCTAAAACATTTTTTTAGGGGAAGTATGTGGTCTAAGTGGGGTTTTTTTTGTTGTTTTTTTTTCAATCATTTACTGTAGCGTTAGTGTTATGCAGCATATTTGAAAAAATAGGGTTTGACAGGAAAAATATATTTGTTATGTTTAAATTTTTTACATTTTTATATGAATAAAAAAATTATTACTAAGAACTTAACATCAAGAATATATGTTCATAAATAAGTTGTAATTCCCTGGCTACATGTACATCAAACATTAAATATCTTATCACTTATTAGCATCGTGTGTCATATATGTCAAAACACTTTATAGGGTATACAGACATTTGCCCCCTTTTCAAAATGCATCCTTTGACAGTCCTTCCATCTTGCTTGTTGACGTCATTGGGCTAAGGCATTTATTCCCATTATTTATATACACACAACACCAATGACAACTATGTCAAAACCTAAGAATATTTTGGAAGTAATGCTGAACTGTAAAAGTGTAATGTTAATGTCATCTAGTGATGCAGGTATTAAAGCAGTAAAGATTTTACATTTTGACATTAATATGCATAATCTATTGGTAAAGATATTGATGCAGTTAACGTGTTAAGGAAATTAGAATTGCAGTCATCGTTTAACCCTGCATGATTGTAAAAGGTGACTAAATGGGTTTGAATTACTGGAATCTATGCATTTCTCATCTCCAGCAGGTGAGGTGGTTTAGACACCTGGTGTCGCTTTAAGTTTGTAACAGCCAAGGTTAGCCAAAAACTTCTTTGAAATTCATGTTTCGGCGCCACATCACCTAAACTGTGTTGGTGCACTGTAAAACAAAAGGTCAATTGAGTCAAGGTCACTGAGGTCTACAAAATTTTGTTTGCTTGTCTATAAATATAGTGTAACATAGTTATTAAAGCTGTTTAAAGCCACATAGGTCAGCTTCCATCAGTGGATTATACTGTTAGCTATAATCATGGTACTAATTAGGAATACTTTGATTTGGATTATAATATAACACTGTCATCATTTTCAGGTAATGGAGTTACTGGTACATATCAACAAGAGGTTGAAGAGTAGAACAAAGGTGCAACTACCTGTAGATGAGTTGATAACACAGTATAAAGATCCCAATTCCTCATCCATAGTTACGGTAAACAATAAATGATTTATTCATAAAATAATATTTCATTTTGTGTTTTCTTTTAATGAAGACTACTAATAATGTTAAATAAATAAGACAGTAAAGTTATTGATTTAATTTGTTGCTTTATTTTGTAACAATTTGATTGTCAAATGGTCAAAGGTAATGTTTTAATTAAGCTCAGTGAACGCAGTGACATATGTCCCTTGCCATGTCCAGTTTCTTGACTTTAATACAGTATATTTACAAATTGATGCATAGATAAATATATTATATGAAGAAGGAAATTTAAATATATAGTTTTTATGATTTGATGAAAAAATTTGAGTCAAAAAAATTACTTGTGCCTTGCATGAAAATTAATATTGAAATGTTCAGTCGGTAACAAAATGGTTTTCTTTCTCGATGACAGAATTGTATGTATCTGTTTACATACATTTTGAATATGATTTACTGTTACTTTCAGAATTTCACTGTTATTTATATAAAGATGGGATATCCACGACTTGATATAAAGGAACAGGCAGAAAGACTTCCAGCTTTGATTGGTTGTCTAGAGGGTCGTTCAACAAGCCATCAAGACAAGTAAGTTACTTATTGTCTTTATAGTAAATGTAAGAAGAGATAATGACTTCTGTAAATGAGCCATGTCATGACAAAATCAACATAATTGGTTTGCGACCAGCATGGATCCAGACCAGCCTGCGCATCAGCGCAGTCTGATCAGGATCCATGCTGTTCGCTATCAGTTTCTCTACTTGCTATAGGGTTTGTAAGCGAACAGCTTGGATCATAGATCAGACTGCGCGGATGCGCAGGCTGGTCTGGATCCATGCTGTTCGCTATCAGTTTCTCTACTTGCTATAGGGTTTGTAAGCGAACAGCATGGATCATAGATCAGACTGCGCGGATGCGCAGGCTGGTCTGGATCCATGCTGGTTGCAAACACACTATGTTTGTTTTGTCACGACGTGGCTCAAATGTTTGTTTGTAGTCAAATTCTAAAATAAAACAAGCTGTTGTGATAATGTTGAATGTGTAGACCAAGAAAGTAAAAAAAAAATCCATCAGTTATTCCATCTTTTATCAGTATTGTTAGATATTCTTAAATATTATCACTCACACTTTATGTCTGTCACTTTTAAAAGGTAAAAAGCTTTATCTATTGAAATTTTTTCATTAATTTGAAAGTTGTAAAATTTTCTTGATTTTATAATCCAGTGGTGGATTCTCGAAAGAATTGTTATGTTTCTGTGATTAAATAACACACATGGATGCTTTATAAAAACAGAATAAAATGTTCCAGAACAAAATACTATGCTGCTGTTATAAGTAAGGTTTTAGGGAATGCAGCTTCTCAAACATACTTTGTGAATTCTGTAATTCAAAATAGACATATTCAGTAAGATTTTTTCTAGATTTCAATAAATTCCTGCAATAAGAGTATTTTACCCGAAGATGAGCATAGTATACATTGTATCTTTAAATGAAAACTTATAAAAAATCTAATTTATTTAAATAGTGAGTATTCTTTCAGCTTTTTGCAGTTAGTAATACCAGCACTGGAGAAGGTTGAATTTCCACAGAACATGGATAAACGAAAGGAAAAATTCAGTTTTGTTAGTAACCCAAGTATTGCCAAACTTTTGTTGGACTATATGCTAGACCTTCTGCTCGTGCCATATGGGTATGTATCTGAATTTGTTTGTTTGTTTTGTTTGATTTTAACTCTTTTGAACCACTGTAAAGGTCAAATGGTAATTTTTTAGCTTTACTTAGGGAGGAAGACCTCTGATGCCTCTTTGTGCGTTATTTCAGGCACAAGCCAGCATGGCTTTAACTACTCAAGTATGGATATATCTGAATTCAATATAAAGCTTTTTCAAGCTTGACTATTATATCTACAGATATAAAGTAGAGAGATATCTAATTCACATGGGAGTAAGTATCGGTGATGAATTTGGCATCAGCGTCACACTGTTGCTTTTGTTTTGCATCACATGACTGTTTTACAGTAAAGAATAGAGATACATTCAGTTAATCTGTTATTATTTAGCACTGTTTTAATATCTGTAGATCTCACACTAAACTTGCTGAGATACAAGCAGCTCAGGCGCGGCGACCTGCCACGGCACCTACAGGTGACAGCACTCCACAGCCAGCAGCGCCACCTGGATTGTCAATTTCCTCATTCCGACGTGTGATGGGAGATAACCCTTACCAACCGGAACAGCTAGAGAAAGTTAAACTAGGTGTCATTAGATTTCTGGGGGCTGATTTATTCCCTGAATCAGATGTTGTTTGTCATTACATAATTGGAGCTGCTGATACAAGGCACAGGTTAGTTCACTGTTGATTTATCAGAGATTAAAAAGATAAAATTTGTTTCTGCACACATTGTTTTGTATATTATAAGAAAAAAATGTAACATAATTGATTAATACTTTACTGAGTTCTTTTGATATAAAGGGCTGGAAATAATATTTTGAGATTTGTATACTATTTGATGTCAATCTGGACCAAAAACTTGTATATAAAATTTCAGATCATTAGCTCATTCATTTTTTTTTTCTTGAGTATTTTGTTGCTGCAAAATGACCTGAAAATGAAAATGCTTAAATGCTTTTAACGTAAGTTGGCCTAAGAAATACACAAAAAAAAAATGAATTTTCATTTGAACTTGTAGTCTTTTTCTTTTTGTTTTGCAATGTTAATAATCTGCATAGATCCTGGCTGGGAATGAATCATGAAAATTAATTGTCAGAGTCAACAAGAAAAAGAATATTTCAGCAAATAAAACGACCACTTTTGGGCAGTGACAAAAAATATCAACTTACACAGTATTTGGCTGTCAGTTTAACCTGCCTAAAGGAGATAATAATATTTATGAATTATGACATGAACTATACAATGGAAAATATTTTGAAGTGTTGGTATAGAATATGGACAACACCTCACCAGAAAACATCCCACCATGTAAGATTTCCAAATAATATTTGAAATAAACCAGTATTATTTGTATATTTCAGTGTTGCTACAGCCGCTGATATGGAACTGAGAAAGATTATTACGTAAGTTTTCCGTTGTGTTGTCTCCTCCAGTTATTGTGAGCCTAAATGCATTTTTACCAATCTTTCTTTTTGGTAAAAAAATTATCAAAATATTCAAGGACTCATGCTGAGCTGTTGGTCACTTTGTTGGCCATTTGTGATATTATGAATCTTACACTGGCTGCCGGTACAGACCGGAATAACTAGCTCAAGGGTGACTGTTTACGGCGGTAACATGGCTCTACTGAGTTTCTGCTAAACAGTTACCCGAGAGCTAGATATTCCCATTTGTACCAAAAGCCGATGCTTGATTCTTTTTCTTGCATATTACATATCAATTATTTTCAGAACAGAAATCACGAAAACTGATATTCTCATTATGCACTTTTTTCTTGTGAACATACAACTTCATTCATAATGGTTAAGTGACGTCATCCTGAGAACGCAATCTATTCATTAAAGGCTCGCAGCAACAACGTCATTTAAAGCACGTGACTTGTCTTGTATGGGGATGTTAGATAGGGTTTTTTTAGCACCGGTGTAAACGGTAAATAATCCTGTCTGATATGCAAGAAAATTTTATAAAACACATGTAGGCGAATAATTTTACAGTTTGGTTACAGAAATTAGCATTTATTTTGTCATCAAACTGTTCTGTCACCAAACTATAATATTAATCGCCTGCATGTGTATTATAAAATTATCACAAATGGCCAACAAAGTGACCAACAGCTTAGCATGAGTCCTCTATGACATCCACCAATGTTGGTTTCTGCTTTCATTCCCTGCATTAAAAATCAATAAAGAAAGTTGAAGGCCTCATTAACACCAGTATAGTGTATTTTATTCTTACATGTATATCATGCTGCTTCCAATAGCAGAGTTAATGAAAATATATGGGACAAATTTGTGTAATTTCTTAAAAGATAATGTCTTACGTAATGTTTACAGACATTCCATTTAAGTTGATACCTTAATACATGCCAACAGTAAATAGTGCCTGTTTAAACTGTAATAATATATATATATACCAGGGATGTCCCAGAAATATTTAGATTTTTTTAGAAAAAAATACATGTCTGAAAAAGCTACAGTTGTTTCTTTTGAGCTGTTTGATTTTTTTAATTTTTTTTTATTAGCATCTACATGTTACTATCACATAAAAAATCATCCGAACTTAAAACTTTGTTCAACTAAAAAGCTTAAATGTTACTCGTGGTTTTTAAAGATACTGTTATAACGCATGTTATTACCATAGATATCTGCGTATTCTCATAATACCTTTTCATTGTTTACAGGTCTGTAAGATTTGAAATGATTAGGCTATCTAACGCATTGTTTTGGGATTTTCTGGACTATAGTGCTCAAAGGACAGGTAAGACCGTTATAGATACTGTCAGATAATCTACATAAAGTTTTCACTGTGAAATATTTGTTCTTTATTTGTATAGAATTGCGAGAATAGTCAATATTTTAATATGAGATCTTAACAGGAAGACAAATTACTGGGCTGGAATTTAAAAAGAAAATTTAGTTCTCTGCAGTACACTGTTTAAATATGTGTAAGCTGAACTTAATGTAAAGGTAGTTAATTTCTATCGTAAAAATGTTAATATTTAATTAACAGTTCACACAGCTGAGGACCATCAGTCAAGCTTGATACAGGATAACAATTAATTACACAAACATTAAACTGACTGTAGGCTGAGGTATGTCTATAATGCCAGGAGGTTCTTAATGATGTGGACTGTATAAATAAATACTTTTCCAATTAAAAGTACTCAAAATTGAAAACTGTTTATAGCAATGATAATACTATGTAAAAGGAAAGTCTGGAAGAAAAGTGATCCCTCAAAAGCATTAATCACAACAAAATAACATGGAAATTGCAGAGATAATGAAAAAGTGCAACAACCCTCATTTCCCATAGCACCGTCTTGAGCGGTTCTCAATTCTCAACACTCAATGATTCCGAAGGACCAGAAAAATAGAACAACAATGAAGTAAAGTATGGGGCAACGTTTTACTTTGTAAAATGAGATTATTACATGTATTTACCAATTTCGAGCAGTCAGATTATAAGTATCAAACAGTCTTTATGCATTGTTATCAGATCAAGTCATTATCCTAGAAATGATAGCAGTAAAAGGCTTCCTGATTCTTTAAATAAAACAGGGATGGAGTATTGAACCATGAATTCACCTGTCTTCTCATTTTTCATTACCGGATGTATTGCTTGAAGATAGTCACGTTTTCAAAACTCAGGGCATTTAAGTTTTGCTCCTAGGAGGATGTTATCTTACTTACTCCAAAGACATGTGTTTCTTAGATAATGATCTTTCCTTCCTTGCAAACTTCCTTTTAGTTTGATCTACTTATTACATGTACACTGTATTTCGATGAAATGCTTTTTGGGTTATTGGGTACAAAGATTGCTCGATTAGTTTTTGTTTTTTTTTAAAATAAGGTAAATAGAGGGATGGGTAACTTTCCCTTGTACTCATATAGAGAAAACATCTTGATAAAATTTGTTTATTTGAATGGGATATAAATTTACCTAAGGAATTGTTAAATGATCCTCTGCCAAGATGCCCAGGATTGTACCTTTTGTGTTGTCAAAAACAGGTCCCTTTGCTGTGAGACTCTTTCAAGTTGATTAAGAAATAAGGAAATCTTGTTAATTTTTTAAACTCAGAAATTAATATATTTTTAATTCTTGAGAAAATGTCAAATATGTGTTTAATAATGTTAAAGAGCATGTAATATGTTTAACAACTGAAGAAGGTAGCACTAAACATGCAGTTATTTGTCGTAAAAAAGTAGTATTTTGACCTCCATGCAAAATACTAAAACACAACAATTACACCTATTGCAAACTGAACAAAAGAAGCAAGAGTTTATTTGTATGTCAAATGAGTTCGGGTTTTTTTTCTTTGATACTGTATCTAGATACAAAAAATTATAAGTTTTTGAGAAATAAAAATGATAGCATTTCTTATACATAATAGTTCTATAAAAGAAATTCACAACAATAATACTGATTCCTCAGAGGGGTCGGTGTTGGAATTAAATTTCCGTAAATACTTCCTGTAAATTGATTTTTTTCACATCAAGAGCACTTGTACGACTTTAGGGTCATATGGTACAAATGTACATCCTTTTTAAGTTATCTCACATGGCATATCATGTGATACCACTCTAACATGTTGATGAACTTTGGCAGGGTAGGGCTGTTTTGTAAATAAATTCCTATCCAAGGGGTTAAAAGAATTCCAAGTAAAGTTTAAAAATCTATTTGGTCAAAAGCTGCAAAGCCCATAGCTTTGATATTTGGATAATAGCATTGCAGAGTGTTCAACCACAAAAAAAAATGTTTAAAATTGACCCTAGTGTAGATAATTGGTCCCTTATGTCAGATGTTTCAACTCAGGGGCCCACTTGTGCCTAAGATAATAAAAAAGAACATCTGAGGTCTTCTTCCACCAGTAAACCTAAAAAGTTATAGTGTTGTGTGACTCAAAACAAGTACCCGTGACAAAAATAGTTTTCTTTTCTTTCAGCCTGCAACACGTCCAGAGATGAAAAGAGTGCCAGCCTGCACCAGAATAAGAATGAAAATTTTACCACATATCTTGAAGGCTAGAGAATCAGCAAATTTCTTTCCTTATAATATACAGGTATGTATTTGTTTATGCTTTGGAAAAATCCTGTTGTATCATCTTAGTAAAAAATTTGCTTGCAATATAAGGAATACATGTACATTGCAAGTTTTGCTAGTTATGATAAGATATGAGTCCTACTTTAGTCTCGTTATTTTATAAGATCACTGTATTAGTTGTATTTGGACTTAATGTCATTTACAGTTGAAATAATTTTTCAAAATGTCTTCGTAAATTTATTTAATAGCATGGGTGAAAATTTTATGAACTGTCATACAACAAGAATTTCAAGGATCCTCAGAGATTTCTTTCTATATAAAAATACAGATGTTTTATTTGACTTCCAACTTTCATTTATGTAATTGTATAATTTTTACAAAGTTGCCTTGTGTTTACAGCTGATATTTGATTGTTTGTATGGTCAGAACACAAACACAAAACTGAAGGTATATGCCATGCAGATGATTCATCATATGTGTTTATAGTAAGTTTTCCATTATTTGCTGAGGAATAGGCAAAAAAAGAGAGAGTTGTTAAATAGGCGACCTTTAACTCGTCCTAAGGTAAAGCTAAATGTGATAATTCTAGCTAAAATATGCCATTTAGTATTTAATATATATTTTTTGTCAGATAGGGACTGCTTATATCATTTTATGTGGACATATTAAAAGTTCAGAAAATATGTTGGTGTATGTTGACTTTGTAATATTTACATTTTAAAGATGCTATTACTTATTGTTGAAACTTACATAATAATACAGGGCTTCCATAAGTGGAAGTTTGGGAGTCATTTTCTCCTAATTTTCGCTTGTGACTTCCAAAACATAACACTTCTCCTTGTTTACCTATATAATATGACTTCCAATGTTAGACATTTTGCAGTCTGACTTCGGGAGTTTGAAGCTTTATGGGAGCCCTGATATTATCTCATAAACCAAGGAGCAAGAGTGTGATACAGTAATTTAATAAAAACGATATTACGCTAGCTTAAAAACACTTTGATGTGACATCATTTGTGTTATATACAAACATAGCATTAAAGCGAGCTAATGTTAGCATTATACTGTAGGTGGGTCAATGAAAAATGACTATTTTAACCATACACCGTTCTTTTTTTGGATTTGTGATAAATATAATATTAAATTTATGTAGATTAAATACTTAATTCATTGTATTTGTTGAATAAAACATTTTATTATTTATTTTAATCAGCTTGTTCAGTATTGAACCTACACTCACTGTCTATGAGTACCTCATTCAATATCCTCTATTTATAGCAGACCTTTCAGGCATGTTTGAACCTACCAGCATAGGCTGATATGAGAATTTTACATTAGAAGAGTGCTACAGGTTGTTGACTTACTGGGCAATGTTTTTCTACAATAATAGCTATTTATTTTTGCATATGAATTCTTCCAGTTGCAGTTCCAGTGATATTAAGTTTATAGCAGTAAGTCCTGTATTACAAACCAAGTTGATCAACCTAGTGAAAGAGGGAAAAGAGGTAAAATATTTATATAATCAGTGAAAATCTTTGTTAATATTTGATTCTTAATGGCCACAAAGTTAAGCTCTGCCCACTTGCCCCTTGATACTAGGAGTTTGAATCCCACCTGGGTCTTTCATCTTAAAAAGCTATCCAGCTAGCATACAGAAGGTAAGCTGTCCTATACAGGTGCTTGCTTATACATAATCTACTTAACATAGTGGAGCCTGAGGTTTTCCTCCCCCAGTAGGACTTGAAACTCGATATAGGGTTTTATTGTGCCAGTATAACTTTGGTACATAATCAATGTTAACAGCATTTTATTAGGATATTGTATGGCAAGCCTGATGTCTTTCTTTTTTCCCCATTCAGGTTAAATAAGACAACTATGTAGAATTTGCGACATAAGGAAAACCTTTTTGAAACCCTTTTTCACTGCTCATTCAAAATTATGACTTTTTGACAAAAGTGTAACAAAATAAGCTTGATATACTGTGATTTGTGGTTTTGTGAAAAGGGATATTTTCATTTGTTCTTAAATTCATGGCTTGTATGTATTTTTGCAAAAAAGTGAAATGCAAGTATACCGCAGACCATGAAAACCATGAAAATTTGTGGATGGACATATCCACAAAAACCATGAAAATTAGTGATCCACTATTAATAATGCTTTTGCTAAGTTTTCTTTTAAAGATAAATCTGAAAAGAAATTTTTTGACATGAAGTGAAATAAAATCATCCCTGAAAGAGTTTATTCCAGTTTTACATATGTTTTTCATATTGTACATTATGGACACAAGTTGAGGTTGGAGAAAGCTTCTGTGTGTTTTTAAAACTTAATACAAAAAAAAACCCAAACAGGCACTTGAATATGTTATTTATTTGTTACAGGATGCCAAGGTATTGAGTCTGGGCTATGTAGCTATAGGCAAGTTAGTGAATAAGTTCCCACAACTTGTGGCTTCAAATATAGCGCTCGTACAAGTCTTCTTCCATGTCATGTGTCAGGTATTGTATTTATATATCTTTAATATGAGAATTTATTATTTTTCCAACAGTAAAGGTACATATTCTTATTCCTAAATATCAGTATTTCATCGATTGATAATCTTTCGTTACATGTATAATGATTTAAATGGTGGTACCAATAAGAGATGATGCTAGGTGTTTAGACCTACATTTGCTGATGTTAAAAGTTTTGGCCTCTCTGCTGCGGGTTTGAATCTCACCAAAGACTTTGGATACATTATTTTAAGGAAGCTAGCTTATGGAATGTTGGTGGTTCTACTCATATGCCCATTTTGTGCCTGAAATAATGTACTATGGAATACTTAAGGTCTTCCTCTGCCAGTCAAGCTGGAAAGTCCTTGTGTGACCTTTACAACGTTGGTGTGAAACTGAAAATAAATACTATGAACAGTTAAGCATTGGGACATAATCATTTGTTGGTTAACTGCTTGTCAGTGTGTGAATGGAAAACTCTTTGAAATTGGCTCCTTTTTCAACTAAACTTAGCAAACAAACAAAAATAATTTGTATTTGTAAGGTAATTTCAAAAGAAGTTTTTTGATCAGCTTCCCTGGATAAAGGTATATGTTATTCAAACTTATGATAAAAATGTCTTCTTTAAATCTACAAGATCTTGAGTTAACATATATCATACTTAGCTTGACTATTGAAGAATAGGATAGGCTTATGTACTCACCTCTGTGTTGGAGTTACCATAACACTTTTGTTAAGTTTTTGCATGCCAGTTGGTATCTCCAAAACTACTGAAGGAAATGGGATGAAACTTCAAGGACTTGTTCTCTGGGATTATCAAACATGAAAGGCACAGGTCCCCTTTCTTACTGAGTTGTGTCCCTTTTCTTACTATCATATGCTGAGAACAGTGTGTGCTGTCTTACAGTCAGCTCTTGTAAGCATTACATTACCCTGGTGTTAAAAAGGCTTATATCTTAAAAACTTTTGACATGTATAACAAAAAAAACAGACAATAGTAACCATAATTATTTGTAATTTCAGGTAGATTCAGAAATGCGTCTGGCAGTACAGGAGGCATTGTCCCTAATGGCTGATGCATTCAAAGATTTAAATGAATCAAACATGAAAATCATGGAAGCATTACTAATGGAAGCAATTGACAAGGTTACCTAACTTTTTGTTTACCTTGCAGTACATGTACTTTACCTCCACTATATTTTGTGTTGACTGATTTTATATTCTGGTTTAAGAGGGTAAGATTTATGTATTAAATGTATGCTAGCTCATTGATTATTACAGTATTGAATGATAATAATCAAAAGATGGAGAGGAAAAAAAGCGATACTTTTTAGGTAACTGTTATGACCAATTGCACTGCTAAAATCAAAAGGGATTAGCTTTTAGTTTATACGAATTTTTTTAGCTTAATTGTGTTGGAAGCTATAAGCTTATTAAACGTCCTCAAATTCATTCCTAGAACCAACCAGTACTAAGCAATAACTGTAAAGTGTGTTGCTCAAGGAAATTCTACCTCAAACAACAGCTTGCACAGCTTGTTGGGTCTGAGCCCACACAGCCAGCAATCCTTAGATTATTAGTCTGACATGTTAACCACTCAGCCCTGCTGCCATTATTTGCTTTTGCCACCAGCGATAGGCCAGTCTGCTGTCTGACCATGCTTTAAAGGCGACGAACATGTAATGATCATATGCTGAATAAAGAATTGAATTGAATTGAATACATAATTTGAATCTGTGACAGAAATCTGTTTAGAAAGACTACAGCTTCTTCATGAAAATGAGAATAAGATGTAAAAGTAAGAAAACAAGAAATTTCAATAAAAGCAATTTATCATGAAAGTCATTTCACTGTATTGACAAAATATTAAAGAGTAAGAATTTACTTTTATGAATGATGTTGTTATATAGGAAGAACCACAGGCTAGGATGATGGCTGTGCAGTATTCGGAGCGTATATTTCCCCAGGACCATGTCACCTCCAGATATATCCTCTTACTGGCTGCTGGTGATCAGTATGTATTCAACCTTTTATTATTTTATATATTTTCTAGCTCAGTTTAGCACAAAGTGCACAATGGTGAGCTTTTTGGTCATTTAGATTATTATTATTATAAAAAATAATATTGGAAAACAAGGTTATGTAGGATTATATAGGAAAATACTGTTAAAATCTTTTTGTGGAAAAGGCCTGCAGGCTCTTAGAAAAGTAATATAAAACATGCCCCTGGATTTTAAAAAAGCTCCCTCCTGGGTGTCATTTACTTTACATTGACTTATGTAATAAACTTGTCTTTGATGTTTAGCATGTAACATCACCTTATGGTCCTCTAATAATTGTATGAATGATGCCCCTTGGGTCAAAATTGGCCACTATCTTAGGGTAATTTAGTTTAAAAAACATACTCGGAAATCTCATTTAAATCTTCTAGTAGTAAACAAGATGCCTTAGATATTTGGCATGTTTTTCCTAGCCTATCTCTACTAAAATCTTATCAATAATACAGCTGTGATAAAAAAGTCGCAACCTGTGTGATCATACGATTTGCTATTGTATTGAAGATTTATGTACTTATTTTAGCAGTCAATCACAGGTGACCAATCTAGGGCGAACTTGATCCTCTTTTTATCCTTTTAATCTGACAAACTCTGTGTCTACAATTAATGATTACTAAATTGTTTTACAAGGTTTATTGTTATGTAAAATATATTTTTTACGTTTTTTGGAGATATAGTATGATAAAAATAATCTTATTTTATTATATAGGAAAGAAGATATTCGTATAGAAGCTATGAAAGGTTTACACCCTCAACCAGTTAGTGAGAAGCAATCTACTCAACCGGTTGAAACTGTACTCCCAAACTTCACAAACATGGTAGAATATATCAAGGAAAAGGTAATACTGTTCTCAAAAAATTATATTATTTGTTTTGATGGATGCATGAAGTTTTTCACCTTGAGACTTTTTTTTTCAAAAATGTAGTTATCAGATTTGGACTACTTTATTACTTTTACCAAAGGAGTGTTTATAACCTATTTTGCCAAATGTGGTATATATTAAAAGATGATATATATCAAGACCATATAGTCACCTAAAAAAAATATGTACATCTAGGCCCTGTGATTAGTCTGCTTTGATTGACATTTAGATTTCATAGACATTTATAGGGACACATTTAAATCTACTTGTGTGAAACTGTAGGGCCTAGAGATTTGATATTTGGCATGAAATATTGCCTTAGGTATCTGTACAACAGTTATATAAACCATTTCATAAGCCTAAGTGTCGGTTTTGTAGCATTGACTCATATTAAATGGGAACGGGGGGAAGTCTTTTACTTTACATTACCAGTTTTAGGATAATCATTAAACATGCATGTATAAGACTTCATGATGTAGAGATAACTTCTCTCTTATTCAGATATTTGCGTGTAACATTGCCTAGTGGATGTCACAAAATTAATATAAGCTAATGTCCCTTGGTTCTTAGATGCCACTACACAAGATGACCAATCTAGGGATATTATGACCCTCTTTTTCCCATTTTTTCAGGCTGATATTCGTATTACAACACAGAACAGATCTGTTGTTGCCAACCATACATTACCATTCAGTCCAGCAGCATTCAACGAGGTCTTATTGTACCTACGAGCGTGTCTCGCACACAGTGCTGGCCTGAAACCTGACATGGATGGGATAGCAGATATGAAAGATCAAGCCCCGAAAATATCCAAATATGTTAAAACCCTTCTGACTGGAAGCAGGCTGGATGCTAGTCCAGTCAAAACATACATAGACCTTGTACAACTTCTTCTCAAAGCTGTTGGAGGTGAGAAATACATTTTTTACCACCTCCTTGCTTTATACATGCAATTGTTTTATTAGCTCAAAACTTTGAAACTGAAAATTAAAAAAAATAATAAAGTAACAAATTGAAAGTAGATCGAAATAAACATTCTTATTTCAAAACACTGACATTACCTAAGTTATTTGACTATGGCTTTTATATAGCAAATCATGCCAGGTTTTTTTTCATATTTACTGGAGGTGTATATGTTGTTAACATCACAAGTTGCTTTTTTCTGGCTTAAGTATTCTGAAAATTTGGTAACATATGTATTCTTATGCAAGCATACTGTATGTAATTTTCCAGGCTGAATGGATTTTAAGCAGAAATGAATACATTTTCCCTTCTTTAGAAAGGGCATAATTATATGAGTTCAATTAATGTGAATAATGATTTTAGAGCATATTAAAGCATATTAAATGCTTATCACCTGTAGAAAATAGCACCAAATGTGAAATTATTTGTTTTAAAGGTAGCATAATAAACAAAGTAACATTTTGACTTCCATACAAGATACAAATCAAGTTTACACACAGTTTTCATTTGTGTTAAATAACAGGAACATCAATGATACAACTCTTTCGAGAATCGACCATAAGAATGTGAAACCTACAAAATTTTACAGTTTTTAGATTTCATTAAAGTATTTCATTACATATAGCTTTACATCCTTTAATCTGGGGCAAGGTCATTTGCTTGGAGGTTGTTATTTAAGCTGTGTAAATACCTTCAAGAATTTAAAGTTTTTTATCAGATTCAAAGTTACACTACCAAGGGTAAGTTGATTTGACTTAATCACTTTGCCACACGTAATACAGCGATAGGCAATGTAAAGTGATACTGGTTGGAGAAATAACTCCGACACTAAATCACATACTTTTTGTAATATCGTAATTATCTTCCTGTATATTTTAAATATTGAACCACCTAAATAAAGTTCGGTTCAAAGACTTTACATTACACTACAAAAATTATGTATGAAAATGAGAATTGGTACTTCTTTAAGGTCCTGAATGGGGTATAAAAAACATGGTCTTTTTACCCCTCAACAGTAGATAAAGTCGTCACTTAAATTTTTAAGTAAAAAATGACAGGAAAATCAGCATCATTAATTTATTTTTACATCTTATATGTTTTATCTATTTTTTGTTGATGTAAAAACAAGTTTTCAAAAATATTTCCCAAGTCAGTGGCCTGTGGTCAATACATTTCTAACAACCTCATTGTAATTTAGTAAAAAGAACGTTTTGAAGCAGTTTTTGCCAACGAAAAGTTTCGGTTATTTGAAAAATATTAAAAAGTTTACCAACTTACAAAAAATCATCACATTCTGCCCTGCTCCTATACTACTAGGTGACCATGTGCTTTTTTGTTAAAAAACAAAGTTAAAGAAATTATATTTCTCAAGTGTCAGGGTTATCTATGCGTCGGAGTTATCTCTCCGACCAGTAGCTATAAAAAAAACTACGCATTTGATTGTGTGTTTACAGAATGTTTATATATAACAAAATGAATCATTACTTTTTAATTTTGTTGGAAGTCATTTGATGATCAAGTTAATGCCTCAAATCTATATTAATACTTAAAATGTATATGATTAAATCTGGATCAGTATTTTGTATTGGCAGTTAGGACTCAGGATTTGATTACATGTATATTTAAATATACAAAATACATGTATGTTTTTCAAATTCATCTCTTTTTTTCCTATCCTTAAAGAAACTTTGTTATTTTGACAAGTTTCCGTTGGTACAAAATGACATTTTCCACGTAAACAATATGACCAAAGTACAGGCAAAAAATTCATGATAGACAATTTAGATTTACACTTTCATTGATATAGATATAGTGTTAATACAATGTGTGAATAAACAGTTCCTTTATCATTATACTCCAGTCTCATGCTGAGATAAAATTTTGAAAAATTGATTTGAAAATTTTAAACCCAGGTAAAGAAAAACAACAACAAAATTACTTACCCATATGCCAATGCAAACATTTTAGATACAGTAAATTTAATAACATTAAAGGAATGCCATTGAGGTACAAAAACCGTAAAAACATAAAATTGAAAAAATATCTTAGTAGATCAACTTGGGTACTTGAGAAATTAATATATGAAAGAGATGATAAAGAAGTATACTCAAAAATAAGTTGAAAATTGACATGAGCTGCGTCACGACAAAACCAACATAATGCGTTTGCGACCAGCATGGATCCAGACCAGCCTGCCCACCCGCGAAGTCTGATCAGGATCCATGCTGTTCGCTTACCAACCCTATTACAAGTAGCAAAACTGGTAGCCAACAGCATGGATCCTGATCAGACTGCGCGAACGAGCAGGCTGGTCTGCATCCATGCTAGTCATAAACCCATTATGTTGGTTTAGTCATGATGCGGCTCATTATTATTATGTAGTATGACTCTTAGCCTGTTTGAGTAGGAAAGTGTTTACAGACTTTTCCTTTTTAGGTCAGTTTGCACAATAAAAATTATTATATGAAATTTTGCATACAAGTTATTGGTATAGACATAAATCAAATATAAAAATCTCAAAATTAAATAATACCAGTCATGTCATGTCTAAAAACTTCAGTAGAGTGCTTTTAAAATTTTAAAAACACATGTAATTTGGTTTCTTTTGTTGGTTTAGGTGTTACACCAATGTATTGTTTACTGGAAGTTGTTGCCATGGCAGAAGATCATCTTGTTGACATGTTTGTTGATCAGCTTCCCTGGATAAAGGTATTTGTTATTCAAACTTAAAATAAAAGAAAAGTCTTCTTTAGAAACTACAAGATCTTGAGTTAATATAATTATTTTCAGCTTGACTATTGAAAGAATAGGATAGGCTTGTGTACTCACCTCTGTGCCGGTGTCACAATAACACTTCTGTTAAGTTTTTGTGTGCAAGTTGGTATCTTCAAAATGGTATCTTCTGGGATTGTCTAACATGACAGGCACAGGTCTCCTTTCTTACTGAGCGGTGTTCCTTTTCTTACTATCATATTCTGAGAACATTGGTGTGTGCTGTCTTACAGAGTATTACATTACCCTGGTGTTAAAAAGGCTTATATCTTAAAAACTTATAATCTCATTGTGAGAGTATTTTCTCATTGACTGGGAAGTGTTTTATCTCATTGGGAAAGAATTATCTCATTGGGGAGAGACTACTATGAGGTGTATACACATCAGATTTCTGAGTTAAAGTCCTTGGTGACTACAGCATATTTCTTTATGAAATGTGTCAAATCACATACCCATTCCGCTTTTGCAACTCCGTAAAAATTGTATTTAGTATATAAATATAGCATAAAGAGGCATTTAATGTGTTAAATAGAACATTATATTCATTTTTATATCTTTTTAACCGTTAGATAAATGATTTATTCTGCGGCTGAAATCCGGTACAACAAAAAGACAATAGTTTCCATTCTATTGAACCAAAGCTGTTTAAAAAAATCACAAAAACACCAAAAAGCTTACTTTATTACTATTGAATCATTCTGTTATTGCATAAGAAAGAATATACTATTTTGAAAGTACATTTATCTAAATTGGTGTTGATGGTCATATCTAAATTTTGGATCAATACTTACTCACCAAGTGTTTTGAGGCTGTGAAGAATGATGCTGTTGGTAACTTTTTACCTCAGTAGAGGTTATTTTAATTAACACATAGAGTGCAAAGTACATGTATACAATGTTTGTTTAAAGTTAAATGTAGGAATACACAGTGTGCTGAGGAGTTGTAGTCTTTATGATTGCATGTTACCTGTCTTACATCATTATCCACAATTTCATTAAATAATATCTCCTCCAAAACCACTTGTTAGATTTTGACCAAACTTCACAGGAATTGTCATTGGGTGACCATCTATAATAGTTTATTGATTAATCTTATGTCATTTAAAGTGGATGAGTAATGGTTTCAGTTCTCATCTGATTTCACATATTTAAACTTTACCCAATAACAAGTATTGATAATCTATCAAAATCACAATTTATTTAAATTATAAAAATTGTGTTTTTTGTCAGTTAAAGATATTGATAAGCATTTTTGACTTGCTGTATGTCTTACTCTGTAAACATTGAATATTTCTGTGAAGTATTGTTTTAAATTTTGTTAATTACCCATTCTGCCTGAAATATTTTCATGCTTATATTCTTTGATTACACATTTTCTGTCCAAGGCAGTGTAGTCATATATGATAAAATAATTTCTGTCAATTCACTTTTTCCATGAAGATGTTGTCCCTCTGAAAGAAATTTTCTACCAAAGGTAATGTTGTCATATACGATGGAAAAATTATTTCTCATCACTTTTTCCATGAAGATTTTAATTGATTGTCCCTCTGAAAGAAATTTAAACTATCACTTGTAAGTTAAAGATGATAGGGGACTATGACCCCTATAGGTTTTCTTTTACCAAGTAGGATTTCTACATACATTTATATAATATATGATAAGTGTTTTCAAGAATACAGTAAACAATGTTGACTTTTTGTTACAGACATTTGTGTTTTCCATGAAAGATGATATAAGAGATTTAGCTGCCAACTTGTATGCTATTGTGATTTGTAAACAGAAAGATGAGGACAGGATTCTTGAAGCTCTCACTTCATTTCATACTTCACTATCAGATAAGGTATTGTGCAATGTTGAATAAATAGAATTACTTTATAGTAAAGGGACATTTTCTGCCTCCCCAAAGGGGAATTCTTATAGCTTCTCACTATGGAAAATAAAAAGCTGGCTAACTGTAAACAGAACAAAAGATAACAATAGAGTTCATTCCATAACAATAGAATAAGGGTCATTCAATGAGGGTCCAATGACCCTGGATGAAGCGAAAGAAAATCATGAAAGAAATGACCTCTTATTCCATTTGCACATCTGTCCTTCCATTAATCCATCTGCCAATCATTCAGAATAGCTTTGGGGCCCATATAATGGTAAACATACAATAGCCTCATTGCATAACAATAGAATGAAGGACAATGTTCCTTATTTATTAAAGAAAATAACAAAAAAGGAAATGCCCCCTGAGTACTTGGTAGAACTTACAACAGTTCCAAAAATTACAAATCATTAAAATCATTTACTTCATCAATATCATTAACAACAATATTGTTGCTTTTGATTGCTGTTACAGTTCTGTCAATAAGAAACAGAAATGTTAATGTATTTCTATTTTTTATGTAAAAGAATATAGAAACACAACATGGAGGATTATTGGCACTGGGGTATTTGATTGGACAGCTTTTGAGAAGCAGATGCAATCAAGAAAGTCAAGGGAGCTCACTCTGGCAGAAGATTGAAAAGAGGATAGAGTTGTCTGTACTTGCAATTGGTTGGTATCTTATTTAAAAGTAATTTGTCTTACGTTTTTAATTGTATTACTTGTATTACTAAGGGGTAGATTTTTTCACTCACACTAATGATAAATGTATGAAAAATTCTGTTTGAGTGTAAAAATTCTGTTTGAGTGTGAGTTTTAAAAAGAATGACATGACATAGTCATAAGCAGACCATCCTATACAGTCTAAATATTTTTACTATCAATATATTTGTCAAGCATTTATTTTAAAGTATTAAACTGGGCTTAGTCATAATATTGATAATAATAAACAGGATGTTTTTATCCTGATTCTTCCTTTGGCCACCATTATAAAAGTTACAATTAATGAACCATGTTCACCTGTTTAGTTATTAGTGGTATAATAAATCTGTTATTCAGCAAGGCTAGTTAAAGTATCTGAGGAGACAAACCCTATGTTGTGTGGAGGTGCATGTCAAGCCATTGGTGAGATAGGGCGTAATGCAGCACTACCACTGCCCCCTGGTGGTGAAAGTTCAGATGATGGGGAAATAACAAAACTCTCAACTGTGAAAAACCTTGTCTCCATTATCAAGTCTGGAAAAGAAACATCAAAGGTTAATCTTCTTTCCTAACATAAGGATCTTTTTTTCAATTTATTGCTTAAATTCAGTATTCCTTATATCACAAACTTACATCTTTTGTTGTTAAAAAAAACAACAACAGCATGATTTTACTTTCTGTCACATTCTTTAAAGCAAGCTGTACTAGTTCCTCACATTCATTCAATATTCTATGCAGGATTTGAATTCTTGTTGGCTAGAGATATAGTAAATACAATTAAACCATTTAGGTTCTTTATGATTGGCAGTTTCTGTTTCAAATGTGGTTTATTAGCTAGACAAAGCATTTAAAATTGTCATTATGAGCAAGATATTTTCTAATCTAGAGTAAAGAGAGAGCAGCACTGTGCCTGGGACAGCTGTGTGTTGGTGAGGGAACATTTCCACACAGAAAAGTTGCCATTGAAGGACTTCTAGATTCAATACAGGTAAAAATAAGATCATTAGATGAACACAATCTTTATAAGTAAATTCATTTCAAAAATCATATTGTTGTTTCATGAAAATACTTTATGGTGTTATATTTGTTAATAATGTACACAGACCCTTTACCAAGCAAGAATGCAAACTATACACAACAGTTACTTCCCCTGATCAGTACAGTAGAATATGTAAAAAGAATGTAGCATAGCTTGACATACATATGAGAAATTGGCAAGAATGTATATAGATAGGATTACCCATTTGTGAGGCATTTTGGAATGATGTCTTCCAGTAATATTTTTATACCCCCACAAACAAGGTTAAGGGGGGGTATATAGGAGTCAGCTTGTCGGTTTGTTGGTCGGTTGGTCAGTCTGTCGGTCCACATCATGGTTTCCGCAGATTACTAGAGTTTGGAATGAGGTATTGTAATCAAACTTGGTCTGTTGCAACCTTATGTGGAAACTTCGTTTGGTATTGTATTTGGACCCCCTGGGGTCAAGGTCACTGTAACTAAAAATAGAAAATGGTTTCCGGACAATAGAGTTAGGAATCAGATATTGTTATCAAACTTTGCATATAGCAAGCTTATATGAAGACCTGGGTTGGTATTGCATTTTGGCCCCATTGGGTCAAGGTCACCGTTACTAAAAATAGAAAAATGGTTTCCCGACAATAACTTGAGTTAGGAATTAGATATTGTAAGCGAATTTGGTGTATAGGAAGCTTTTATGAAGACTTGAGTTGGTATTGCATTTGGACCCCCTAGGGTCAAGGTCACTGTTACAGTGTTATTTAAAATAGAAAAATGGTTTCCGGAAAATAACTAGAGTTAGGAATGAGATATTGTAATCAAAAATTGTGAAAAGGAAGCTTATTAGGAGACCCCAGTTGGGATTACAATTAATTGAAGTATTTTTATGTACACAGTTGATAGTTTGTGTTGAAATTTTTCTTCAGACTACTTATTTTTCAAAAAGTCAAAGTTGCTGGTGGGGGTATTAATCACCTTCAGTGATAGGTCTAGTTTTACTTTGAATTGTTGATAGCTACTCCCAAATTTAATGTTTTTTACTCAAAAAGAGATTACTCAATACTGTGTGTACTCGCCCTGTGCCAACTTTGTACCCAGACTGAATCTGTACACATGTCAATATCATTGAGGATATCATTATATGTTGTTTCAATAAATAAACTGTGTTTGAGTGTGTGAACAAGTGTGTTGAGTTAACTTTAAATATGCCTCCCATCAGTAACTTGAAATGAAATATAATAATGAAATAAATAACTCATTTTGCCACATTTACTGCTGCATGAAAAAGAAAAAAAGAGAAGCAAAAAATGATTATTAATCAAATTTAAACATGTGAACGTTTCTTGTTTCTTTTGCGTTTTGCCTTTTACTTGAGACAGAAATGTCCTATTTTTGTTTACCAAGTGGTCTGAGTTCAGTACAGGAAATAATGTATGTCAGGATTTGAGATTTTGTTTGTTAGTCAGGTTATATTATTATCAACAAGTTTGTCCTAGCTTATTATCAAACTGTATAAAATATGAATAAGCTTGAAAATAAAATCAATGATTTATTGCTATTTTAGCTTATTTTGTTTACGATTGTAAGCATGGGTTGGGACATGATTTCCTCTGAGTCATTATATAAGGAAAGCCTTCGTATAAACATTTGTTGTCCATGACTATATCAGTAAACAACATATACACATGTATATTGAAGTTTGTAGGTCACATGCAGCAAATACAATTGTATTTTCCTTTAATAGATATGATATAGGCTTTAGAAATTATGTAATTGTTAGCTACAATGTATTAAGAAACAGAAGAACTTAAAAGTGAATTTTGTGAAAGATTAAAACTAATAAGTATGATTTCTTAACTTACCAGGTATTTCAAAAGTCCTCTTTGGTATTTTATTTAGGGATGTCGGTAGCTGAGTTAATGTTGTCAACTTGCCTCTCACCACTGTTGGAATTTGGATTCTTTCATGTGAGGAAGCTATAGAACTAGGTTATGGAATGTCGCTGGTTCTACTCAGGTGCCTGCTCATGCCTGAAATAATTCACAGAGTGGCACCTAACGTCTTCCTCCACCAGTAAAGCTGCAAAGTTGCCATATGACTTTCACAGTATTGGTGTTATACAAACCAACTAATGTTTTTTCTAACAAATTACATGATATTTTATATAACATGAATTGCATATGTTGTGTGTTTATAATTAAGATATATGGTAAACATGTTTAAACTGTTAATTAAGAGCCACTGGTAAGGCTGTTCATTCTTACATTTTGCATTTACTATTTCAGAGTAAACAAATAGATCTACATTTTACAATAGGGGAGGCCCTTGTATATGCCGCACAGGGGCCGACATCACCTGCAGCACGAGATCTCTGGACACAGACCGAGGAAGAGTTCAAGGTCAGTGTTGAATAAATTGTGATGTTTGTTTTTAAAGTATGTGTTGAGCTATAATTATCAAAAATATACTCATAAAAATTAACATAGTCATATTTTGTTCATATTCTTAGTCATATTTGAAGAGAGTTTTAGTGAAAAATTTATTATCTCCTCTACAGATATACATGTAGATTATACAGATATTTCATATCGGATCATGTATATCACACTTACAGTATCCATATAGAATTCTTTCTTGTTTTTTTGTTACAATATATTATCAACATTATTATTTATGCAATATAACAGACCATACATTGTTGACCAATTCCCTTCAATGCAAATTGAAATGCATGTATAAATAAAGAGGGAAACATTCTGATATGAAATAATAAATATTTCTTTTCTGCAAAAACTACATAAATATTCACTTCAAACTTAAGGTACTTGTTCTTTATAAAGGGCAGGTAAGTCTGCCAAGCACTTTTGAAGAATTATGTTCCCTTTTTTCTTGCTTTGATTAAACTTTAATGAGAAAAGTAAATACTTCATGAAACATAAACAAAAAATGAGATTAACATAAATATGATAGGTCCTGATGATTTGAACTGGTAAATTGTCGGGTACTTACATTTGATTGGTTGTAATGACAATTTCTGATATAGCTGGCTTTTATAATTGACTAAAGACAGAGGTACATTCTTATATTTTAATAACTTTTAAAAGTTTGTCATTTGTTATAGTTTTGACAAGTTAAATGCTTTTCCTGAATTTGAAATATAGATTGATGTGTTCTCTAGTAAATCTGTTGCCATAGTGATATAAAATTGATTTTAAATCAAGAAATGTAATAAACATGGGCCATTTCGTGAACAAAATATTTGATATATTTTAGGCCTCGGTGGGTAATGTGGAAGATGAGGTAGAATGGTATCTAACCACTGTGCTAACACAGTATGTACAGAGTTCAAATCCTCATGTGCGTCAGGCATCGAGCATCTGGCTCCTGGCTCTGGTCAAGAAGTGTGGTTCACATCCAGCTGTTCAGGCCAGACTGACAAGTCTTCAATCAGCTTTCATGCAGCTCCTCTCAGAAATTGATGGTACAATGTTGTTTTTTATTTCAAGAAGAAAATAATTTGAGCCGCTGCACGACATAACCAACATAGTGTGTTTGCGACCAGCTTTGATCCAGACCAGCCTGCGCATCCGCGCAGTCTGATCAGGATCCATGCTGTTCACTTACAAACCCTATTACAAGTAGAGAAACTGATAGCGAACAGCATGGATCCTGATCAGACTGCGGGGATGCGCAGGCTGATTCAGATTCATGCTGGTCGCAAACCCATTATGTTGGTTTTGTCGTGACACGGCTCAAATGTTTTGTTGGCTGAAATGTTTTTAAGCAGAAGTTATGATTATAAATTTGTTTAAAAAAATCAAAACAAAAGAACTGAATTTTGTGACAGTGAAATAAACCTCTTTAGTTTGATGATATGGTCTGTTTGATATTTATCTACTAACCATGGAATGAGGGGCATTAAGTTTATCAGCCATGTTTGTTTGAATACCATACAGTTATGCTTTAACTTGATATCTTACTTTCAATTTTGTCTTTATTCCTGACATATTTGCAACTGCCTTAGTAAACAAGATTTGCAACATATTTTACTTAAAGGGAGTTTTTATGTATTAACTTTTCTGACAAAAATCAATTATACAAGAAATAGTTGGGCAATCTTACTTACCCTTGGGGTCACGATCGTAAGTCTGTGTTCAAATAAATAACCTTTTATAGATTGAAAAATCTTGTTAGCAAGAAATTAATAGAGTTCATGTTGAGATATATTTAAACTTAATCATTTTTCCCTTTAAGCATAAAAACTTCTTTATTTAATATAAATGAATGAATGAATGGAAAAAGCAAGTGGCAAATTTGTAAGAACTACATTGTATTTTGTAGTGATTGTAAGAATGGAAATTTCTATGTTTATTTCTAGAGATAACTCAGGATATATCATCTAAAGGTTTAGGCCTGGTGTATGAAATATGTTCAGCAGAACAGAAGGATGTTTTAGTGTCAAGACTTGTTGACACACTAATGACAGGGAAAAGACAGCAACCTAAAGTGTCTGGTGATACGCAGGTGTTTGAGGAAGGCAGCCTTGGTAAAACACCTGAAGGGTTAGTTCTGGTCGTACTTAACCTCATTCCTGAAGCTTTTTGCATTCAACTTTTGTTTTGTAGCACATAAAGTTTTACATCCAAGAATGTCATCGATTTTAGATTGTTTAACCAATTTCAGAATTGCTTACTAATGTCCCTTTTGTCCTGCTTTTGTTTTTAGCTCACCTGTCACAAAGTGACAGGGTGAGCTTTTGTGATCGCTTTTCGTCCGGCGTCCGTCGTCCGTCGTCCGTCCGTCGTCCGTCGTCCGTCGTCCGTAAACTTTTACTTTAAATGACATCTCCTCATAAACCACAAGGCCAATTTCATCCAAACTTCACAGGAATGTTCCTTTGGTGGTCACCTTTAAAAATTGTTCAAAGAATTTAATTCCATGCAGAACTCTGGTTGCCATGGCAACCGAAAGAAAAAACTTTAAATATCTTCTTTTAAAAAACCATAAGAGCTAGAGCTTAGATATTTGGCATGAAACATCTTCTAGTGAGTGTCTACCAAGTTTGTTCAAATAAAAGCCCTGGGGTCAAAATTGGCCCCGCCCCGGGGGTCATGATTTTCCCTATATGCATATAGTAAAAACTTAAAAAATCTTCTTTTAAAGAACTCAAAGAGCTATGGCTAAGATATTGAGCATCAAACATGTTATAATAGGTGTCTACCAAGTTTGTTCAAAGAAAAGCCCTGGGGTCAAAATTGGCCCCGCCCCAAGGGGTCATTGATTTTCCCTATATGCATATAGTAAAAACTTAAAAAATCTTCTTTTAAAGAACCAAAAGAGTTAGAGCTAAGATATTTAGCATGAAACATGTTCTAATAAGTGTCTACCAAGTTTGTTCAAATAAAAGCCCTGGGGTCAAAAATGACCCCGCCCCGGGGGGGTCATTGATTTTTCCCTATATATGCATATAGTAAAAACTTAAAAATCTTCTTTTAAAGAACTCAAAGAGCTATGGTTAAGATATTTAGCATCAAACATGTTCTAATAGGTGTCTACCAAGTTTGTTCAAATAAAAGCCCTGGGGTCAAAATTGACCCCGCCCCGGGGGTCATTGATTTTCCTTATATGTGTATAGCAAAAACTTAAAAAATCTTTTTTGAAAAAAACCCAAATAGCTAGAGTTAAGATATTAAGCATGAAACATCTTTTAGTGAGTGTCTACAAAGTTTGTTCAAATAAAAGACCTGGGGTCAAAATTGGCCCTGCCCCGGGGTCATTGATTTTCCTTATATGTGTATAGCAAAAACTTAAAATCTTCTTTGAAAAAACCCAAATAGCTAGAGTTTAGATATTAAGCATGAAACATATTCTAGTAAGTGTCTACAAAGTTTGTTCAAATAAAAACCCTGGGGTCATAACTGGCCCGGCCCCAGGCGTGTCATTGTTTTTAACTATATGTGTATAGTAAAAACTTTAAAAAAATCTTCTTTTAAATAGCCCAATGAGCTAGAGCTTAGATGTTTAGCATGAAACATTTTCTTATGGGTGTCTACCAAGTTTGTGCAAATAAAAGCCCTTTGGTTAAATTGGCCCTGCAATGTTTGGGGGGGGGGGGTCGTTGGGGCAGCCTATATACAGGTGAGCGACCTCAGGGCCATCATGGCCCTCTTGTTTGTTTTTTAATCCGGCACAAATGTTATAATCCTGAAACTCTGTCCATTAATCAATTAACATTTGTTAAAGTCAAAACCAACAGGAACATATTGTGTTCCTTTTTTAGCTCGACTATGCAAAGTATATGGAGAGCTGTCCGAATCGCCCAGGCTTCCGCGCCCAGATTTCAGATTAAAGTTTTGGTGCAGTAAAATTTTTCTTTACTATAACTTTGTCATTTCTTAAGGTATCAACTTCAAACTTCAAATATATGTTATTTATCATCATCCCCATCTTATGTGACAAAGTTCATAACTCTAGCACCAATATTTTCAGATTAATCTCCCCTTGAACTTAGAATTTTCCTTAAAAAATATTATTTTTTACTGTTACTTATTTATTTCTAAAGGGATCAACTTCATACTTCAAATATATATACCTTATCATAATTCACATCTTATGTGATAACGTTCATAACTCTAGCACCTATATTCCCATAAACTTTGATTTTTTTACTAGAAAAATGTTATTTTTTACTATAACTTTTTTAGTTTTAAAGGTATCTACCTCAAACTTCAAATACTTATTCCTTATCATCAATTACATTTTATGTGACGATGTTCATAACTCTTGAAGCAATATTTACAGATTTATCTCTCTTTGAACTTAAGAAATATTATAACTTCTTTACTTTTTAAGGTATCTACTTCGAACTTCAAATATATATTTCTTATCATTACACACATGTTGTGTGACAAGGTTCATAACTCTAGCATGACTGTTTCTAGAGTTATTCCCCTTGATCTTGGAATTTATGTTATTTTACTATAACTTAATACATAATTGATTTTTCTTACATAGTTTTGTCCTCCTTACTGCGTCCAGTATTTTATTAGTCAAGCTTCGCTGTCTCCTATGACAGCTCTTGCTGAAATTGATAATTAGAGTGCATTCCTTTCAGAATCATTAATGCTTTCTTTAAAAAAATCTTTAATAGTCAAAGATTGATTATCAGACAGTGAGAATAGGACTCAGTAAGGTCAATAAAATTAAGAAAACTTGGGATGGGAAACACTGAAATATGGTGCATCTATGACCATTGGACACATTTCTTGTTTTAGTATTTGAAAGTTATTCATCACCTGCAGATGGTTTTGTTAATGTCTTTTTCTTAAAGAATACATATACATTTAGTTTGTTGTCTGCTTTTAACATCAGTAAGAGAAAGAAAATTTCACCCTGTGACCTCTACTATGTTTTTGTGACTAATTCTAAGTACAAAAAGAATGCTTTTACTAAATTTGCTGCACACCACAATAATTCTTTTTTCCAAAAAAAAGTAAAACATTTTGTTACTCTATATTTTTAACAAAAGAATTAAGTTCAACTATTTGAACTTTAACCATGTTATGTATTGTGATGTGATCTATGATGTGTATTTTAGGGGAGGATTGTCTACATATAAAGAGTTGTGCTCTATAGCTAATGAGTTAAATCAACCAGATCTCATCTATAAATTCATGCATCTAGCTAATCATCATGCTATGTGGAACTCAAGGAAGGTATGATTATGTGCTGTTAAATGTTCAAGCATGTTTTTTGGTACTTTTTAACTTGTCAGTTTCAAGAAAAAGACAAGGTTTTATGAATTTTGCAGCATTGTTGCCGTCCTTGTGAATAAACTTTAAAGTAGCCCATTATTCAAACATTTTTAGCTCACCTGTCACAAAGTGACAGGGTGAGCTTTTGTGATCGCTTTTCGTCCGGCGTCCGTCCGTCCGTCCGGCGTCCGTCCGTAAACTTTTGCTTTAAATGACATCTCCTCATAAACCACTGAGCCAATTTCATCCAAACTTCACAGGAATGTTCCTTTGGTGGTCACCTTTAAAAATTGTTCAAAGAATTTAATTCCATGCAGAACTCTGGTTGCCATGGCAACCGAAAGAAAAATCTTTAAATATCTTCTTTTAAACAACCCTAAGAGCTAGAGCTTAGATATTTGGCATGAAACATCTTCTAATGAGTGTCTACCAAGTTTGTTCAAATAAAAGCCCTGGGGTCAAAATTGGCCCCGCCCCGGGGGGTCATTGATTTTCCCTATATGCATATAGTAAAAACTTAAAAAATCTTCTTTTAAAGAACTGTAAGAGCTAGAGCTAAGATATTTGGCATGGAACATCTTCTAGTGAGTGTCTACCAAGTTTGTTCAAATAAAAGCCCTGGGGTCAAAATTGGCCCCGCCCCGGGGGGTCATTGATTTTCCCTATACGCATATAGTAAACACTTAAAAAATCTTCTTTTAAAGAACTGTAAGAGCTAGAGCTTAGATATTTGGCATGAAACATCTTCTAGTGAATGTCTACCAAGTTTGTTCAAATAAAAGCCCTGGGTCAAAATTGGCCCCGCCCCAGGGGGTCATTGATTTTCCCTATATGCATAAAGTAAAAACTTAAAAAATCTTCTTTTAAAGAACCCAAAGAGCTAGAGCTTAGATATTTGGCATGAAACATCTTCTAGTGAATGTCTACCAAGTTTGTTCAAATAAAAGCCCTGGGGTCAAAATTGGCCCCGCCCTGGGGGGTAATTGATTTTCCCTATATGCATATAGTAAAAACTTAAAAAATCTTCTTTTAAAGAACCTCAAGAGCTAGAGCTTAGATATTTGGCATAAAACATTTTCTAGTAAATGTCTACCAAGTTTGTTCAAATAAAAGCCCTGGGGTCAAAATTGGCCCCGCCCCAGGGGGTCATTGATTTTCCCTATATGCATATAGTAAAAACTTAAAAAATCTTCTTTTAAAGAACTGTAAGAGCTAGAGCTTAGATATTTGGCATGAAACATCTTCTAGTGAATGTCTACCAAGTTTGTTCAAATAAAAGCCCTGGGGTCCAAATTGGCCCCGCCCCAGGGGGTCATTGATTTTCCTTATATGCATATAGTAAAAACTTATAAAATCTTCTTTTAAAGAACCCAAAGAGCTAGAGCTAAGATATTTAGCAAGAGACATGTTCTAATGGGTGTCTACCAAGTATGTTCAAATAAAAGCCCTGGGGTCAAAACTGGCCCCGCCCCGGGGGTCATTGATTTTCCTTATATACATAGCAAAAACTTAAAAATCTTCTTTGAAAAAACCCAAATAACTAGAGTTTAGATATTAAGCATGAAACATCTTTAAGTAAATATCTACAATGTTTGTTCAAATAAAAGCCCAGGGGTCAAAACTGGCCCTGCCCGAGGGGTGTCATTGTTTTTAACTATATGTGTATAGTAAAAACTTAAAAAATCTTCTTTTAAAAAACCCAATGAGCTAGAACTTAGATGTTTTGCATGAAACATCTTCTTATGGGTGTCTACCAAATCTGTTCAAATAAACAAATAAAAGCCCTTGTGTTAAAATTTTACCGGGGGGGGGGGGGGGGGGGGGGGCTATATACAGGTGAGCGACCTCAGGGCCATCATAGCCCTCTTGTTAAAGTTATCAACATGAAACTAAGTATACTTGCTTATCATGACATATTTATTTTAGCTTGATTGTGAAACATGTTTTTGCAGCTTATGTTAATCATTTCGAGTAGGCTTCCTGGAACTAACCAGTACTGGTGTCATATGAGGGATCATTATTGTGATCCCAGTAGGGCTTGGACCCACAATACCTCGGTTGAGAGGCAGACACTTTAACCACTAGGCCACCGCTCCCTTAACTCTGCTTACAGTGCTATTGTTGTCCATCTTATGACCTAGTAAATCACTTAAAAATGAATCAAGTGACATTGTAGGAACCCTAATGGCTGATTAGTTATACAAACTATCTTAGAAGAACTTGCTGTATATGACTGAGAGTTCATTTCAGATTTAGGATAAGCAAACTCTTAGAATGACTATATATCCTTCCTTGCCAGAAATATTGCAGATACAGAATTGTGAGGTCTGCCATTAAGGTCACTGACTTCAAATCACTTGCCCCTATCTGCTAAAGGTTCAATTCCCATCAGGCACTTTTGATTCTTTCATGTGATGAAGCCCTCCAGATAGCTTACAAAAGGTTTCTTTGTGGTTCTACTCAGGTGCCCTATGCCTGATAAAATGCTTGCAGGGGCATATGACTTTTACAGTGTATGGTGTGATTTAAAATCCACCAAAACAAACAAACTACCAACATTATGTTAATTGTCGAAATATATCTGTTATATTCAACTTTGCTGTAACAAAGTAATTAGTTACTATTTTTGTATGTTTTATGTAGGGAGCAGCATTTGGTTTCAGTACTATAGCAGCTCAAGCCGGGGAGCAGCTGGCCCCTTATTTACCACAAATTGTCCCCAGATTATACAGATATCAGTTTGATCCTAATCCAAAAATACAACAGGCAATGAGTAGTATTTGGAATGCCCTGGTGCAGGATAACAAAAACACAGTAAGTTATATTACAGTTACATGTACACTAATGCTAGTTACAGGCAATGAGTAGTATTCGGAATGCCCTGGTACAGGATAACAAAAACACGGTAAGTTATATTACAGTTACATGTACACTAATGCTAGTTACAGGCAATGAGTAGTATTCGGAATGCCCTGGTACAGGATAACAAAAACACGGTAAGTTATATTACAGTTACATGTACACTAATGCTAGTTACAGGCAATGAGTAGTATTCGGAATGCCCTGGTACAGGATAACAAAAACACGGTAAGTTATATTACAGTTACATGTACACTAATGCAAGTTATAGGGAATAAGTAATATTTGGAATGCCCTGGTGCAGGATAACAAAAACACAGTAAGTTACATTATAACTACACTAATGCTAGTAGATACTGATTTTAATACCAATGAACATGATTTTGTTCATTTTAGGAAATAAACTACTGCAGAAGTTATATGGTTTAGCCAAGATACCAACATATGCTTAGAAATATAGTGAGAAACTGCATTTCCATGTTTCATTTTAATATCATGGATAATTATGGTAGAAATTTCTCATTAACAGTCATTTAAATTTTTGCTTTATCTCAGTTTTGCTATCATTTAACAATTAAACCTGTGGTGTGTTATCCTGTTTATTATTAAATCTATAGGGTTTAGTCCTGTAAAAAGGAAATGATGCTGACAGGTGAACGAAAAAAATCGCAAACTTTTACATTTATGTAAATCATTATGTTGATAACTTTTATTTCTGGTAAAATAGGGTGCAGTATTAGCATAATCTGTCTGTAGAATATTTTCAGTTTTTAACCAGGTTTTCAACGAAAACCGGGTTATTGTAATGCCGAAGTCGGCGGGCAGGCGTCAACTTTTTGTTTCCTCTCAATAACTTGAGTTTGCTTTGGCCTATTGACACCAAACTTGGTGTGTAGGTAGCTTATATCAAGAGGCAGCTTGGGATTGCTACCCAGGTGTCTGTGATCAAGGACATCAGGGTTGCCAGCGGACTTAAAAAGTCAGTGAAATCTGATATTATTTCAAGGTCAGGAAATTGTTAGGGAATTTTGAAAATTGGTCAGTGAAGATTAAAAATCCTGAAAAGTCAGGGAAAATAATTTTGAAGAATTTTCCTTATATGTATAAAGTAAAAACTGGAAAAAAACATGTTCATCTCTTTTAAGAGCTAGAGCTTAGATATTAAGCATGTAACATCTTCAGTGAGTGTCTACCAATTTTGTACAAATAAAGTCATTGGGTCAAAATTTGCCCAGTCAAGGGGGTCATTGATTTTCCTTATATGTTTATATAAACTTAAAAATTCTTGTAACAAACCCAAAAGAGCTAGAGTTTAGATATTAAGCATGAAACATTCCAGTGTGTGTCTACCAAGTTTGTTCAATTAAAGTCCTTGGGTCAAAATAAGCCCCACCCCTGGGGGTCACTGATTTTCCTTTTATGTACATAGTAAAAAACAAAAAAATATCTTCTTGAAAAACCCAGAGTTAGAACTGTGATATTTGGTATGAAACATCTTTTAGTAAGTGTCTACCAAGTTTGTTTAAATAAAAGCCCTGGGGCTAAAATTTGTCCAGTTTGGGGGTCATTGATTTTCCTAGTATGTATATATAGTAAAAACTAAAAAGTCTTCTTTTAAAAAAAAACAAAAGAGCTAGAGCTTAGATATTTGGCATGAAACATTTTCCATTGGGTGTTTACTAACTTTGTTCAAATAAAAGCCCTGGGGTCAAAATGGAGAGTTTTTATATTCAGATGAGCAATTTCAGGGCCATCATGACCCTCTTGTTATTAATTATATTGGCTATGGCAGTATTCTGTAGCTCAAGATAGTAGTTTTGCTTCAGACTTGATCTTATCAATAACATTTTACTGAACACAAAACTACCAAACTTAGATGTATAAAGCATGTTTTATTGACCATATTGTTAAAAGCATTAAAAAAAACCAATAAAAAAAAACTTATGTGTGCAGGGCTTTTTTTTACAGGTTGGGGAAGGAGCCCTGCCCTTAATTTTGGGGATAAATTAAACGGTATATTTGCAAAAGGGGAAAAAAAAACTTGATGTAAAAACGCTTGATTTTAAAGAATTTCTCTTTCTGTAGGGGAGGTGGAGACCGTTTAAGTTTGGTAGTTTTGGTCAGTGAAAAACCTAATTTGGTCAGTGAAAAGTCAGGGAATTTTATTTATCTATGGTGCTGGCAACCCTGAAGGTCAAGGTCACTGTTACTAAAAATAGAAATTCAGGTTCCGCTCAATAACTTGAGTTTACTTTGGCCTATTGACACCAAACTTGGTGTATGGATACCTTAAATCAAGAAGCAGCTTGGGATTGCTATCCAGGTGTCTGTGATCAAGGTCAAGGTCACTGTTACTAAAAATAGAAATTCAGTTTCTGCTCAATAACTTTTGTTTGCTTTGGTCTATTGACACTAAACTTGGTGTATGGATAGCGAATATCAAGATGCAGCTTGGGATTGCTACCCAGGTGTCTGTGATCATGGTCAAGGTCACTGATACTAAAAATAGAAATTCAGTTTCCGCCTAATAATTTGAGTTTGCTTTGGCTTATTGACACCAAACTTGGTGTATGGTTAGCTTATATCAAGAGGCAGCTTGGGATTGCTATCCAGGTGTCTGTGATCAAGGTCAAGGTCACTGTTACTAAAAATAGAAATTCAGGTTCCGCTCAATAACTTTTGTTTGCTTTGGTCAATTGACACTAAACTTGGTGTATGGATACCTTATATCAAGAGGCAGCTTGGGATTGCTACCCAGGTGTCTGTGATCAAGGTTAATGTATTTAGTTTTCATGTTAAAACTTGAGTTTGCTTTGACCTTTTGACACCAAACTTGCTGAGTGGCAGCTTTGGATTGCCACTTACATATCTGGGAGCAAGGTCAAGGTCATTTGCTTACAATAGAATTTTCAGCTTCTACTCAATAACTTCAGTGCACTTTGACCTATTGATTGCTGTCACATCAAAACTTAGTCGTTGAAAACCTGGTTTTCATCGCATTGCGGCGCTTCTTGTATTTACATGTATCCCTTAAACTTCTGGAACTACAAATGATTAGCCTTTTCCTTTAGTATAGAGCTAAGCCAGCCTGCACATCCCTGCAGTCTTACTAGGCTTAATACTGTTGACTGACCAATTTTAAACTGATATCCTCAAATTTGATATATTACCTCAAAATTGATATTGAACAGTTCCAAAACTGGAAACTGGACAAGTCCATTTAAATAAATCAGCAGGTTAGGATTTGGGCTTGTCTTGTCACCCCATTATTTTGTTCTATATTTAAGCTAATCTTATCCCTTTAGTTAATATATCCCTCATGTTAAAAAAAAGTCTATAATTTCTTGTTTTAATATTGACCTTCTTTACTGGTAAATTGTATATGGAATGATGATGCATAGATCCCTGACCTTTCTAATTCTAATTATCAGACTGGTGGATACAATAAGAATTTAACCACAACATTTTGACTGCCCTTTAACTTTGCCCAACCCAATACAGTGGTTCTATGTGAATGTTGTCATGGAAAAAATGTAGCAATTAGCTTAGTATTTGTTTACAAGGAACGTGACTGTTTATCAGATATTGTTTTTCCTACATCAAAAGCCTACCAAACTGTGAAAAAACAAGTCCAGAATTCATTATCACTTGTTGTTTTCATGTAGGAAAAAAACGTATGGGCAGAGTCTCTGTAAATAAACAGGTAAAGGCAGATCTATTTGTGTGATATATACCTGTATGCTTAAAATCTGTTGCTGTGCCTTATGAATTTGTTTTGATCCTGATATTGATCCAATTTTTTGCTCGAGGAATAACAAGAGCTATCCTATTAAATCCTGTTTAAGTTTGAATACCACCTCAAATAGTCCATAAATATATGACTTTGAAACTTTGCACACTTGTTTACCATCATGCCTTTAACCTGTAGGTAACTCTATCAAGCATTTTGACAGAAATATGCCCCTTTTCCTACTTAGAATTCATTAAAGTTTTGTGTACCATCTCAGATAGTATAGAATAGTCAGGCTCGCTGTCTACTGACAGCTCTTGTTTTATCTTTTGTGAGTAACTTTCTAGATCACTTCATACAATGTAGAAATCATAAAACTACAATAAATATGAAACAATTACTATTTACCAAAAAATGAAATAATGGATATATGCTCTTTTTCATTTATTATAAATAACATTAACTCAAGGCACATGAAACATTAAATGACAATGGTTCCATTTACCAGATTCTTGAAAACTCTTTTTTTTTCACAAGCTTTACCTATTTATTATTGACTAATATACTTTTTAATACTTTTTAATGGTGTACTTGAACATTCAAACTTACTATCAAATTAAGTGTTGTAACCTTTAACTGTCTTAGTAGCATAAAGGAGTCTGTAGTTCGAAATTTTGATTTTTACTTTTAATTGACTTTTTGAAATTATAGCTTTGTGTGATATAAATTCATTTTCTGTATTTTCTATTTATACATCCAACTTTTAATATTCCAAGCAGATAGTCACAAACGAGTACTGTAAAAAAAAAAAAAAAACATACACAAAGAAACAAAACAAAATGTCAAAAAAACATCAGATTGACAAGAATCATTTTGGCCCTGGGAAGTGCATATGTAAAATATACCAGTGAATAAGTGATAAAGAAATATTGTACAAATTGTTGAAATAATGATGCTAATACCGGTTGTCAAAATACATTGAACTGATCTCTATAAAACTTATTTGGCCTACTAGTTTTATACTAAAAACTACTCCAATAGTTATTTATTGTTTTCCCCACGAGTTTTCTAGATTTTATTCCTCAAATTATTTTTGTTTTTAACATGTGTCCAGAAAACCAGTAAATTGATTTATCTCGGTTAAAAGAGTATATCATCACTTTAGTGCTGTAATGGGTTAATTCCTAGCAAAATTTGATATAAGTTAACCCATTTCTGCACTTAA